CTTTCAAATATATACCAAATCGTTGTAAATTGACGTTAAATGTGCATATTTGTGCAAGGATTAAGTTGTTTGTCGATTATATTCTCATATTTAACTAGGTGTATGTCTTTTAAAACGTGTTTGTATAATTTGATAAATATTGTAACTAAGGTATTAACGTCTATTAACGACGTTGTATTTACTCGAAGGCTCTTCAGTCTTCTTGCCCGAGGTATTTGGGCACGTGAATGACTGCATCAAAAAGCCAATCCGAGAGACTGAAATAGAAATTTAATAGCATGCCTTCCAAAAATAACTTATACCTATATTGTTTGTGCAAAATACTTCCTCATGAAACAGATCTACGCAATGTTGTAATTTTGTCCTTTTCTAGTTAAAACGACAAAGTTATTTGTGCTAAAGAGTTTTATAAATATTTTTACAGTGTAGTAAAACAATATATAAAACACGAAATTATAAAATTTATCTATTGTTTTATTTTCCTTAAATATTAATCAGACATTGGCCATAAAACCATACCTGGTAGAGCCATGCTGCAGCTATATTAATAGTATAGTTGTAGCACGAACGGATCGGCTCGCTCGGGGAAGGACCACGCTTTCACAGATTATCAACGTAAAATAGCAGATTAATGCTGCTGTGTTTCGTACGGTGAGTGTAGAGAACCGGATACCCATTTTACTGGAAAAGAGGCATTCCATCTTAATCCTCACGGGTGTCATCAATCACATTTTGATTCGCAAACGAAGATAGATGTAGATGTCTATGGGCCACAGCAACCACTTACCATCAGGTGGACTGCGTGCTCGTTTGTCACCCTTATTCTATAAAAAAAAAGAAACTGAAGCAGAATTGAGTCGGACTATCTGCTGCATGTCGAACGAGCTGTGGATCAAATGTTCCGCGAAATAAGCCCTACACAATGTTACACGACCAGGAAATGGCGGGATGAATTGAACATCTGTGTCGACAAAAAGCATTAAATCGTGAAGAATGGAAAAAGATTACTTACTTACTTACTTTTGCCCTGCACATAACAGGCTGAAAATAAAAAATGGATGAAAATTAATTTTACTGTGCACTTCGAATATTCTACAAAAGCTTTAAAATTCGTGGTTTTAAAATAAAAACCATGCCCAGCATAGAGCTGTAGTAAACGGACTGATAAGAAAGAGTGAGGAGAAATCAATAATGCCTTCCGTATCCCATGACACGCGGATCTACCGTTCTCTTCGCAACTGTGCTTACCAGCCTATTTGCTAACTCATGTCAACGAGTATAATTATAGTATATTACATCGTATGCTATATAGCGTTTTATATAAGTACTACCACGGCTTATAAAATGTACAAGAAAGCGCTTATCATTTTTATGTCAACAAAGTTAAAATATGCCTGCAAGTCCTTAATATACAACAGAAAGAGTATTGCTAAGAGAACAAATCCCCGTGGAACTTTGGTGTAAATCTTTTTTATACAAGTAACAGTGACAAACGAGCACACAGTCCAGCTGATGGTACCTGGGATGGTGTTTTACATGGGCATCTACATCTTTTCTCAATTAAGAATCAAAATTGATTTTGTGCGGGCGTAGCCTCCAGTCGAACCAACCGATTCGTGCTACAGCCATAAAACGTGGGCTCGGACGGTAGTTGAAGAGCAGCCCGTGTCAACGACTAGGAGAGACCGTTTTATACAAAAAGTCTTTACTAGTCGATCAGACGGTCTTCTCCCGCTCCAGGCGTAATCCAGTTCTGAATCAAATGAGTTTTATTCGAACTCAAGGTAATTTTGTACCCCCGCAACCGTTCCTAGCACACAATAGATTGTTGGTTCTTTGAATTATCAGAACGGTAGTCAAACTTAAACCATAAAAATAAACTTGATGTTTTTATCAAAATATTGATTTCGATAACTGAAAGGGCATAACGCCTGCTGAATTTTAATTTTTAAATTATTGATTCACATCATAGTACATTATACTTCATTGGGTTCACAAATATCCTGGCAACTCACAATTTACAAACGTCATCTGCCAGTGCATTGGGTTCACAAATATCCTGGCAACTCACAATTTACAAACGTCATCTGCCAGTGTGGGCTACTGTCAAAGGCGATCAACCGTTAGTTTGAGAAATAAATAAAGATTTTTTCCCCGACACTCCACAGTTTCTTCGAATTTTTCTTCAACAAAAATCTGATTAATCGAGGTACAGCCTCGATTAATCAGATTTTTGTTGAAGAAAAATTCGAAGAAAGAGAGAGATAGAGCTGATATTAGGATTCCCATATACGTTTGTGCGCAGGTCCTAGATAACAAGCAATGGTGACGAACCCGTTAGAGCAGGCCAGATGGTATTCACAGGCTATTCGGACACATTTTTCTATCTATTGATTCGAAACCGTTCCTGTTTTCTGAAAGGTTTTCTATTTGAGGTTGTTTTTAGAAATAAAAAGTAATATCAGAAGAAAAATTCATCAAAAGCGTATTAAATGTAAAGTATCATTTTGATTTTATTTTGTCTCATACACATTTACTTGCCTTACTTCGCCATGAACAGAAATTAAATGAACATTGATATACATATCACCACTATCGTGAATACAGCCCTTCAGAAGCTTACTGAATACAAGTCTCCCCCAAGGAACCACGAGCCACCTGAATCCACCGACTTCCCGATGTCTTACCAGGTCGTTAATCCATCTCGTGGGGGACGGCCCTACACTTCGCTCACTGGTACGGGGTAGCCATTCAAGAACCTTTCTTCCACATTAGTTGTCTTACTTACTCTTATTTCACTTCAGCTTACTGATACGTTAGCATATACGATATATATCTTTATATATATAAATTACGTGTTTTTTATATAGGAGAGGGGGCAAACGAGCATGCGGCTCACCTGATGGTGACTACCGCCGCCCATGAACAGCTGCGACACCAGGAAGGGAATCGCAGATGCGTTGCCGGCCTTTTAAAAAGGAGTACGCTCTTTTCTTGAAGGTCCCTAGGTCGTATCGGTCCGGAAAAATCGCTGATGGTAATCGATTCTATAAGGAAGTCGTGCGAGGAAGAAAACATCTTCTAAATCGCACAGTTGTGGACCGCAAATCATCCAGATGGTGTGGATAGTATCGGGAGTTCTGCCGCGATGTGCGTTCGTGAAATTTAGCTGCTGGGATTAATCCGAACAATTCCTCAGAGCACTCCCCGTGGTAGATGCGAATGAAAATGCAAAGGGATGCAACATCTCTTCGCAGTGCTAATGAATCGAGCCGATCGGAAAGGACTCGGTCGCCGACGATTCGAGCCGCTCTGCGCTGGATGCGGTCAAGTGGAAGGAGCTGGCACTGGGGAGCCCCTGCCCAGAGATGGGAGCAGTATTCCATGTGAGGCCGAACCTGCGACTTGTAAAGTTGCAGGCGGTGTTCCAGCATGAAATACTGTCCCGCTCTGCTGTGCACGCCAAGCTTTTTAGAGACCAATTTGGCCTTCTCTTCCAAGTGACCACGAAACTGCACGTCACTCGATATGTCGTCTCCGAGGATTCCGATACTGGCTGAGGCAAGAAGGGGAGTGCCTTGAAACTGAGGAGATACCACAAAGGGGTTCTTTTTAGCGGTAAACGCGCAAACTTGTGTCTTCTGAGGATTAAATTGGACTAGATTTAGTCGTCCCCAATCCGAGACTTTGTACAGCAAAGACTCGACTTCAGACACAAGTTTGTTCCGGTACTCGACGACGCTTTCCCGAGAAATATTGGCACGGCCGGTGTATAGAGCATCACCAGTGCTGTCATCCGCATAGCAATGAATGTTACCAGTTAGCAACATATCATTGATGTGCAGAAGAAACAGCGTTGGTGATAGCACACAGCCTTGTGGAACACCAGCGTTAATAGGCTTGTAGTCGGAGCATGCACCGTCTACAACGACCTTGATGCTCTGATCTGCAAGGAAGCTGGTGATCCAATCGCACAATTTCTCGGGAAGCCCATAGGAAGGGAGCTTCGAAAGAAGCGCTTTGTGCCAAACCCGATCGAAGGCCTTCGCAATGTCCAAACTAACGGCCAACGCCTCCCCCTTGGACTCTACTGCCTCTGCCCATCTATGGGTCAGGTAGACCACCAGCAGATCGACCCCGACGAAAACCGTATTGGTGGTCACTAATCAGCTGGTGATGCTCAAGGTACCGCATGAGCTGGCAGTTAATAATTGGTTCCATTATTTTGGAGAAAAAGGTGGTGATCGAGATAGGCCTATAGTTGGACGGGTCTGAGCGGTCGCCTTTTTTAGGGATCGGGTGGACAAAAGCTGTCTTCCATGAATTCGGGACTACGCCTTGGGAGTAGGAGTACCGGAAAAGACGCGTTAGGACCGGTGCCAACTCCGGAGCACACGTCCTCAGCACAATTGTGGGGATTCCGTCAGGCCCACTCGACTTCCGGATGTTCAGGGAGAGGAGTGCTTTGCGAACCGAGCGCTGTGAGAACAGCACATCCGGCATGGAGCACTCACACCGCGGGATGGTCGGCGGTGTTTTTCTTCCGTCATCAAGAGTCGAGTTGGACGCAAAAAGGGAGCCTAAAAGGTCGGCTTTTTTGTCACAATAACTAAACTAAAGTAGATAATGAGCTGATTTCAATTAAATTTTTCGCACTGTGTATAGTTTGGTCCAACTTGAGAGATACAGATAGAATAGTTTTATCCCGATATCTGACCCTCAATATTTTTATTTCCAGTTTAAGGATTTTTATAGGACAAAGGGTTATCGAAATGAACAGTACGTCTATCTGGGCAGCTAGTATGATATTAAAATAAAAGACTTCAATAGTTAAAATATATGAATTTTATAATATGCAGTCACTTAAAAGAGAATACACCATGTATAATAAAAGTCGAGTACAAACAACAAAATAATATCTACACACGAAATTTCACCCAATACTGTTTACAGAGAATTTTGTGTAGCAGCTGACATAAGAGGTACGTGTGGTCCCTATTTTATCTTTTTCTGTGCCTGTGCTCGGAACGCGCGGCGTTTGGCTTCGACTTTTCTTTATAACGAGATTCTTCTGGAAAAAAACAACAAGGATTACGTCGAGAAGCAGCGGCTTAAGAAATCCATCCTACCATTATATTTAGCTCTAGGGTTAAGAGGAACATAGGAAATTCTATAAATATGTTGTGGTCTCAAATAGGCGGCTATAACGATCTCTTACTTCTCAAATCGGTTACTCGGTTACGCGGTTACTATAATCCTGTCCTGTGCAAATAGCTAGTATTCAGTTTGAACGCGCCGCCATTAAAAAAATTCGGTCTGTAGGATAAGATATTCCTTCTTCTAATTTATGAAAATCTCGTAGTAACCAATTCTGTCAATGTCAAATATTGTTTCTTTCTTTGGTAATGGACGATTATACTTCTGCCAGTATCAAGGAATACACAGAACACATTATCTTGAGTTTAACATCAGCATCGGCATGTTTCGTTGTTTACACTAATAGTTCAACTGCAGACAATAAATAATAGGTCGGGGAAAAAGTTTCTTCGTATTTTGTTTGTATAAAATTGAAGAAAGTCTCTTGTCTTTGTACTGTTTGTATCTGGCTGGTTTTAATATCAATACATATAGAACATTAATAAATAGAAAAATTAAAAGTAAAAAACACTTTCGCGTCATTTTTCAATTGTTTCTCTGTCCGCTAAAATGAGTGAATCTAACGAAGAAATTCGATACACTCTGAAGTTTTATTACAAAAAAGGGAAAAATGCGACTCAAGCCGCGAAAAAAATTTATGACGTTTATGGACCTTAAGCATTGTCAGTAAAAGTAGCACAAAGTTGGTTCAAGCGTTTTCAGTCCGGGAATTTTGATGTCAAAGATGCAGCTCGCTCTGGTCGGCCTCATACGGACATCTCATCAAAGCCGATGCCATTTTTAAAAATTGGAGGAACATCGGCATGTTAGTAGTAATGACATAGCCAAGAAATTTATGGATTGACCACAAAACAGTTTTGACCCATTTGAAAAAGTATAGCTATACAAAAAAGCTCGATTTTTGGATACCACACGCGCTCACTGAAAAAAAACCTAATGAATCGTGTACCTACTCATTTGCGATTCTCTATTGAAATATAATAAAACCGAACCATTTATGAAAATATTGATCACTGGTGATGATAAATGGATCACCTACGACAAGAACGTACGAAAAAGATCACGATAAAAGGGTAGTCAAGATCCACAGACTGATTGACACGCAATAAGGTGATGCTGTGTGTATGGTGGGATTGAAATTGCATCGTTTATTATGAGCTTTTACCGCCGGGCAAAACCATCGATTTAGATCTTTACTTCCAAGAAGTAATGAGACTCAAGCAAGAAATTAAATAATAACGACCGGAATTCATCATGATAACGCCAGACCACACACATCTTTGGCCACTCAGCAAAAGTTGAGAGAGCTTGGTTGGGAAGTATTAATGTATCCACCATTTAGTCCTGACCTTGCACACTGAGATTTTCACCTGTTTCAGCCTCTTCAGAATTCTTTCGGCAGTGTTAGGTTAACATCAAGAGAGGACTGTCAAATCTACTTGTCGCATTTATTTGATCAAAAATCCCAATATTTCTACACCAACGGGATTATGTCACTACCTCCAAGATGGCAACAAGTTATCGAACAAAATGGCACATATGCAAGGCTATTTTGCAGTAACCGGCCAAACTTGCAGAGAAAATTCAGAATAAGTAATATAGGCAAAAGAATAATTAATGTGAAGAAAAATTAATTGATAACGTCTCAAATATACTGTTCCTTTTGTCTTTTCAATTCAAAATGCATGGTAATGCATTATTTTAGCTGATTTTACACGCACACATTCGTAAGCGTCGATCGATAGGAATAAACGTAGAAGTCTTATTTACCCGTATTTTCAAAGACTGCAATAACGGTATATCGTCTATAATATAAAAATGAACAACTGATACGATTTCGCTAATTCTTTTTTTATAATATTCCTTGAAATACGAATAAGTTTTGAAAAATAACCCTGTATATTATAATTAAATGTAATTAAACTTTGAAAAAAAAAATGTCTTGAATTTGTATATAAAATACGAAGAAACTTTTCCCCGACCTTTTATAAATAAAATCGCGCCACTTTTACACATGAAAATCAATTTTGAACCATTATTTATACAACAATACAAGAGCAGCAATCCGCCAGCGGTTAAATTCACGCCAAAAAGTCAACAATAACATAACAAGAGCAGAAATCCGCCGGCGGTCAAGTTCCCGCCATAACTCTCTGGAGGACATTGTTATCAGTGTGTAGTGTGTACCTCGGTCCTTGCGGCGGGGGCGGCGATCGGGCGAGGCGCGCGAGTCCGGCGAGGAGCGGCGGCGCGGCGCGCTCGCGCCCCACCACCAGGCGGGCGGCGCCGCGCGCCCCTGCAGCGCCGCGCTCTCGCTCGCCGCGCCCGCCGCATACTGACACGCCGCCGGCATCTGACACGACCCACCAAGTTTTCATAGGAACAGAGACACGCCGCAGTTATGTCTAACGTGGTAGAGCAATACTGCAGCTATGTTTAACGTGCAAGAGCCCCGATGTAGCTACATTTAACGTGCTAGAATCACAATTCAGCTATGCTTAAAGAAGTCATTGCATTATCATCATGTAGCCATTTTTTAAAGGAATCGTTACCTACCCCCTAACGAGTTTCCATGTGTCGCGGAGGCAATTTACATTACATACATAAATTGCACAAAGATAAACACTCACACCCGGAACAATTATTTGTATGCCATACAAATACTTGTTCCGTGCGGGATTCGAATCCGCGGCCCTCAGTTTAATAGCTCAATGCAAAGCTACCGCCCTACAGAGCTATGCTTAACCTGATGGAACTTCTATGCTGCTGTTTTTAACGTGGCAGACACACTGCAGCTACCTTTGGCGTGGTAAAGCCACACTAAAGCTGTGTTTAATGTGATAAAGCCACGCTGCATGTATGTTTAATGTGGTAAAGCCAAACTGCAGCTATGTTCTACGTGGTAGAGCAACACTATAGTTATGTTTAATTAACGTGGTAGAGCCGCTCTACAACTATGTTTAACGTGGTAGTCACGCTGCAGCTATTTAAAAAAAAAACATTACTTCTATTCCTTAGGATTTTTTCATGTATCTCGGAGACAATTTACACACAAATTCCACAAAAACAAACATCCAGACCCGGAACAAGTATTTGTAGGCCATACAAATACTGGTCCCGTGCGGGATTCGAATCTGCGGCCCTCAGCTTTGTATCCCAATGCTAAACTACTGCGCTACAGAGCTATGCTTAAAGTGGTAGAGCCACGAGGCTACTAAGTTTAATGTGGTAGACCAAAGCTGCAGGTAAGTTTAACATGGTAGAGCCAGGCTGCAGCCATATGTGTAATAAATACTAATAGTGGGTCAACTCCTTTGTTACACCGCAAAATACAAGGCTATCTCGACATCTAGTCGCTAAAAATATGCAAGGGTTGTCACAAAAACATTTCCTTAGATCATGACATTATATTTTTTCTGTATTCCTCGTAATAATTTATTTTTCTATACAAGAATACCAACTAATTACTACTTTACAAAACTAGTTGCGTTCCGCATCTTCACCTGATTCATCACCCAATTTTACTATATTTTACCTATATAGCAGTGTACCGCTTAAAATATTGGGTAGGGCGTTGATTCTGTTTCATTGGTTCTGTTTGTTCGATCGCACCCCGCCTCGTTACAGAAGTGCAACCGACAAATATTTAATATTTCAAAAAAAAATTTTTCCGACAATCCTAAATGGGCGTACCGGTACCCAAGCGAAGCCGACCGGTACTACTGCAGACGTCGCAGGCAGAGGGGACTCCGCTCTCGTTCATACCGCGCCCGGACATTGCTCCATCTAGTCGCCGAGTTGACTCACTATTAGTATTTATTACAATTATGCTGCAACTAAGTTTAATGTGATAGAGTCACGCTGCAGCTAAGTTTAACGTTATAGAGACAAGCTGCAGCTATGTCTAACTTGGTAAAACCACGCAGCAGCTACATATGTCAAACGTGGTAGAGAGATCCTGCAGCTATATGTCACGTATTAAAGCCTGTGAGCACTGCAGGTGGTTGAAAATATTTTAGCATGAAAGTAGTATTTTATTACATTTTCTAATACAACTCTTCGCAACTCAATACTTACTGGTGGATAAGGCGGGAGCCGGTACGGTACAGAGGGAAGAGTACTCTCTCCTTCAGCGCAAGTTAGAGGCGGCGCCGCACGTTGAGGGCTTTCTGGAGTCACCAACTGCCGAGATAAAGTACATACCATTACGTACGTAAAAATAATTAAACTAAGCAGGAGGAATTTCAATAACTTTATAGTGAACTCTAGTGAACTCAAAATTCTAAACAAGAAACGTAATATTGCTTAGTGGTTATTTTTTTTATTTTACGCGGTAGATTCTCAATGCACCTGTATTATGGAATAGAATGATTTTTATTCAATATTGATTATGATTATTACATAATACTTATTGAAAGGCATTTTTTATTTACCATATGACTGTAGTAATAATAATAAACTTTATTGATAAAAATATTACATGCACATAAATGGACAGTGTTCAATAGCCGCTAAACTAGGATATATCAGAAAACGTCGCCGAGTACCGAGACAAACTTGTGTCTGAAGTCGAGACTGTTGAACAAAGTCTCGGACTTGGGGCGACTAAATCTAGTTCAATCCCCAGAATTTTTTGATCTTGATCTTGAATCTCTTCTTATTTTTTTATAGAAGAGGGGGCAAATGGGCATGCGGCTCACCTGATGGTAAGTGACTACCGCCGCCCATGAACAACCGCAACACCAGGGGAATTGCAGATGCGTTGCCGGCCTTTTAGAAAGGTGTAAGCTCTTTTCTTGAAGGTCCCTAAGTCGTATCGGTCCGGAAAATTCGCTGGTGGTAATTTATTCCACAAGAAAGTTGTGCGAGGGAGAAAACTTCTTCTAAATCGCACAGTGGTGGACCGCCAATCATCCAGATGGTATGGATAGTGAAATTGAGCGGCTGGAATTAGTCCGAACAATTCCTCAGAGCACTCCCCGTGATAGATGCGATAAAATACGCAAAGAAATGCAACATCTCTACGCAGTGCCAGTGTATCGAGCCGATCAGAAAGAACTCGGTCGTCGACGATTCGAACCGCTCTACGCTGGATGCGGTCAAGTGGAAGGAGCTGGCACTGGGGTGCCCCGGCCCAGAGATGAGAACAGTATTCCATGTGGGCCCGAACTTGCGCTTTGTATAGTTACAAGCGATGTGCCGGCATTAAATACTGTCTCGCTCTGCTGAGCACGCCAAGCTTTTTAGAGGCCAATTTGGCCTTCCCTTCTAAGTGACCACGAAACTGCACACTATTCGATATGTCGACGCCAAGGATTCTGATACTAGCTGAGGCAGCAAGGGGAGTGCCTTGAAACTGAGGAGATACAACAAAGGGGTTCTTTTTAGCGGTAAACGCGCAAACTTGTGTCTTCTGGGGATTGAACTGGACTAGATTTAGTCGGCCGCAATCCGAGACTTTGTTAAGCAAAGACTCGACTTCAGACACAAGTTTGTCCCGGTACTCAGCGATGTTTTCCCGAGAAATATTGGCACGGCCGGTATATAAGGCATCACCAGTGCTGTCGTCTGCATAGCAATGAATGCTACCAGTTAGCAACATATCATTGATATGCAGGAGAAACAGCGTTGGTGATAGCACGCAGCCTTGTGGAACACCAGCGTTGATAGGCTTGAAATCAGAGCATGCACCGTCTACTACGACCTTGATGCTCCGATCAGCAAGGAAACTGGTGATCCATTTGCACAATTTCTCGGGTAAAGCCTGTAGTTGGACGGGTCTGAGCGGTCGCCTTTTTTAGGGATCGGGTGGATCAAAGCTGTCTTCCATGATTTCGGGACTACGCCTTGGGAGTAGGAGTACCGGAAAAGACGCGTTAAAACCGGTGCCAACTCCGGAGCACACGTCTTCAGCACAATGGGAGGGACTCCATCGGGCCCACTCGACTTGCTGACGTCCAGGGAGAAGAGTGCTTTGCGAACCGAGCGCTGTGTAAACCGCACATCCGGCACGGAGCACTCACATCGCGGGATGGTCGGCGGTGTGTTCTCCCCGTCATCTAGAGTCGAGTTGGACGCAAAAAGAGAGCTCAACAGATCGGCTTTCTCCTTTGCGGCATGGGCTAGTGAGTCATCCTCTCTGTGCAGAGATGGAAGAGATGGCTGACAGAAGTTCCCTTGGACAGCCTTGGCGAGAGACCAGAATGCACGGGTTCCCGAAGGAAGGCGAACTAGCTTCTCGCCAATTCTGCCGATGTGCTCAGACTTTGCCTTGGCAATGACGCTTTTGAAGGACCTGGATGCGGACTTATACTTCTTTTTAAGTGCGCTAGTGTTTACATCCCGAGACATTGATGCGTCAGCCCAGGCTCGGTAGCACTCCTGCTTATAGCGTGATGCTATTTTACAGGAGCGACCAAACCATGGCTGGGATCTGCCACCGATGGGCACCACAGAGGATGGAATAAAAAGTTCCATACCCTAAAGTACCACATCAGCAACAGAATCGGCAACAACGCTGGGATCTTCCGGCGAGAAACAAACCCGCCCCCAAGGGTAGGATGCAAAAAAAGACCGCATCCCGTCCCAATCAGCTGACCTATAGTGCCAAACACGGCGGCAAGCTGCAGATCGCAACTGCGATTGGAGCGTGAGTGGCACTGTACTCCGGATCAGACAATGGTCCGAAGAGCCAAGAGGGGCATCGACGGAGACCTGATATCCGTCCGGATGAGAGGTGAGCAAAAGGTCCAACAGGGAAGGTACGTGGTCTTCCACACCTGGGATCCGCGTAGGCGAAGTAACCAGTTGTGTTAGACCATATGTCAAAGCAAAGTCATAGACAGATTTACCCGCATGATCGGTTAAACGAGAACCAAGCCATTCAGCGTGGTGGGCGTTAAAATCACCGAGTATCACGATCTCTGCGGATGGGACCTGTTGTAGCACGGAGTCTGCAGCCATTTGGACGTGGTCGATGAGTCGGTCTGTGTCGGCATTACCGCTATGGGACCTATAGAGGCACCCGTAGACGCGGGGATGGTCGTCGCTGTCTACGCGCAGCCATAGGATGGACAGGTCCGTATCTTCAAGGCTGCCGAGGCGTCGAAAACAGATGTCCTCTCTGACGTATACGCAAACTCCAGCCCGGGGCACAAAGGAGTGTTCCAATTTGTACCCCGGGTAGGAGATATATGAAGTATCGGCCGGAGAAGACACCTGAGTCTCGGTTAAAAAGAGCAAGGCCGGCTTCGCCGTCTCTAGATGGTAATGAACAGCTTTAAGGTTGGAATGAAGTCCCCTGATGTTGCAAAAATTCACGGATAGCGTGACAGGGGTCGCCTTGGTTGTATTCCTCCGCTTGTCCCGAGCAACATTAGTCGCGAGCGGAATTTTGCCCCCCCCCCTCACCCTCCCCCCAGAATACGCGGGGCAGCCTGAGCACCCACGCTCAGGAGTGAAGTAGTTTGGTCGTGGATGCTCAGCGAGGGATTCTCCAGGGGTGCTGGGGTAGTCTTTTATTTAATTCCACTACCATGTTGATGGGGGGGGGGGGATTGGGCCTCCGGCCACCTGCACTCACCAAGCGCAACGCAGAGGTAAACCTCTACTTCACGCTGGTATTCTGTGAGGTCGTGGTACCACCCCGGTTCGAGCTGACCCATTCGTGCGACAGCAAAAGCTACCGCTTAGCTCTACCACTGTTTAAATTCGTCATATATCCTCAGTTTCAAGGCACTTCACTTGTTGCCTCAGCCAGTTTCGGAACCCTCGGCGTCGACATAACGAGTGACGTGCAGTTTTGTGGTCACTTGGAAGAGAAGGCCAAATTGACCTTCTCTTCCAAGTGACCACTGCCGGGCTCAGCAGAGCGGGACAGTATTTCATGTCGGTACACTGCCTGCAACTTTACAAGGCGCAGGTTCGTCCGCACATGGAGTACTGTTCTCATCTCTGGACTGGGCCTCTCCAGTGCCAGTTCCTTCCATTTGATCGCATCCAGCGCAGAACTGTTTGAATCGTCGGCGACCGAACTTTTTGCGATCGGCTTGACTGACTTTATCGCAATTACAACGGGGAGTGCTCTGAGGAATTGTTCGGACTAATTCCAGCCGCTCAATTTCATCATCGCACATCGCGACAAAACACGATACCATCCATACCATCTGGATGACTGGCGGTCCACCACTGTGCGATTTAAAAGAAGTTTTCTTCCTCGCACAACTTCCTTGTGGAATCTACTACCACCAGAGATTTTTCCGGACTGATACGACTTAGGGACCTTCAAGGAAAGAGCGTACTACTTTTTAAAAGTCGGCAACGCATCTGCAATTCCCCTGGTGTTACAGTTGTTCATGGGTGGCGATAATCACTTACCATCAGGGGAGCCGCAATGCTCGTTTGCCCCCTCTCCTATAAAAAATAAAGAGGTATAATACCTGTATGTCAGGGGTCAGTGCCCTTCCCTATTCTTATAGTTCTTACTACTATACCTACTTAGTAAAAAAAAATGAGAAAAAGTATTACGGCTCGACCCCCCCCCCCCCCCCCCCGGTCGATGAAAAGGATCACGATCTCGCTTGCAAACATTCAATTGTTGCTTTACGGTTATGGTTGTAGTGTGCCTTTGTATTGGAAAATATTCGAAAAATTTCTTATATCTACATCTACATCTACATCTACTAAAATATTATAAAGAGGAAAGATTTGTTTGTTTGTTTGTTTGTTTGAATTGAATAGGCTCCGAAACTATTTGAAAAACGATTTGAAAAATTCTTTTACCATTAGAATCCTACATTATCCCTGATGAACATAGGCTATATAATATTCTCAAAAAAGTAAGGGATCCGTATAAAAACTTCGTTAATGTATCCCAAGGTGTGGAAAAAATACCAAAAAGAATCCTTATATCGCGTACGCTGCAGAAACTATTAATAATAGAGTAAAGTAATGTACTTCGGTTTTATAGAGGATTTCAATATCTACAAAAAAGCCTGCGATACCATATGTTAAGCTATTACAGTTATGTCACAATAACTACTTTTTCATGTTAAAATGTGAAATAGTAACGCCGGTACAAACTAGGCCACATTATTCGTGTCAGTACCTGTACCATGCATAACCACCAATTACGTTAACCATGTAATTTTAGTAACATTTTTTACTTTTTAAATCTTTGTTAATTTAGCGACCGTCCGTCGTAATGTCTCTCTCGAAGTTCGCATGTCGCAAGGCGTAGACGCGTAATATACGCGGGTGAAACCGCGGCCCACAGCTAGTGTATTATATATAACTACCCGGTATCAACTTGACTGGTAATAACTTACCGAAGACCTAATGAAAAATAAAGTTAATTTATATTTATATCCATGGGGGAGGCCTGTGTTCTGCAGTGGACTTTTGACAGGCTGTAATGGAATGGATGGATGTATGGATACGTCAACATTACCATTAGAATACCACCATTACTAATACTATCCATCAATATGTTTGAGCTGGATACCTGTTTCTTGAGAGAGTTGAAATCATTACTCATGTCCCGGTACCGCTGTAGACACTCCTGCCACATGGTCGCCATCTCGGCCATTTCTGAACGCTGCTTATTGATCTCCTCCTGTTTAAGATAATTTTAACATTTTCAGTACTTAAACAGTCCGAAACCGGACGTACCTACCCCGTGATTTGGTGTTTGACACTCTAGTGAATTAAAATACACATATACAATTGTCAAAACAAACAGTTCTATAAAAACCGGTGGCTCACCTGCGTGCCTCGGAAAGCGCGTGAAGCCGTTGGTCCCGCACCTGACCTCTTTTCGGTCGTGTCGGTTTACCGTCCTATCGAACTATGAGAGTGAGGGTATAGAGTTATAGAGAGTGCACCTGTGCTTGCTCATACACTTGGGCACTATAATAGTTCCGTCTTGCGCTGATAACTAGTCCGTTGAGACTGGTCGCCGTGACCGAAATTCGGTCTGGAGGACATTATTATTATTTCTTAATCAAATAGAAATCAACCAAGTTTGAGACACTGCTAAAGCGAAATTCAAATTACCTATATTATGACGTAGTAGTTTGACTTTGTCATTTTTCAATTGGGAGGATTTATTGGTGCCGTAATACTTGACTGATTGGCATACATATAACCAATAGTTGTGTCATGAAATCCATGAAATCAATCTAGCTTTCATTTTTCTATTTTCCTAAGTCTACTCTCGCAACACCGACGGGACAAAATAGGGTAATAACTTATTTCATTATAATAATCCAGTGCTTGACTACAATCGCAACTGGTGACTTCTAGCATTGTAATCGAACGGAAAGGCAGACGCTTCTCAAGCCCCTCGGAAGTATGAAACAGTGTTGATAATATAATAAATAAAATGGTCAGTTGTTTTATTAATATTTCCGTTAAACTCTCCAAGTAAGTCTTGTCGCTTGTGCTGTTAGTGGTAGTCGAATAGTGGACTCATGATTTTCTCAGTTTCTGGTCCACGTCTTTAACTATCGGACTACTGTCACTTCAAGTTATTAATATTGATAAAAATAAAAATAATTAGTGACATCAAGTCGGTTAGACACATTGAGATTGACCTAATTGCATGAATTTATAACAACGGCTAAACTCGCATACGTATTATAGTATTTACTATCTAATATATAAAAGTCACGATGTTAATCTCCGAAACTGCTTCATATATATAAAAATTACGTGTCACGTTGTTTGTCCGCGATAACCTCCTAAACTACTGAACTGATTTGAATGAAATTTTGCACACTGTGTGCATTTTGGTCCAACTTGGGAGATAGGATAGTATTACTCCAATGCTTGTCGAGAAACCGAGAGCACAGAATAAATAATAGTACTACGCCGAGAGTTTAAACCAGAATTAACAAGAAACATGAATTGACTAACACTCGAACTCAATACCACAGTGAACCAAATACAGTTCAATAGAGTTAAGGGGCTTGTAATTGTATCGGAAACATCACCAAATTCTAAACAACAGACATCGGAGATGATCACATCATTATACCATGAGCCTGGCGTCCGTGTCGCCGACATCCCTGGCCACGGTCTCGTAACGTCGCATACATTCGCGCCAGAGTCGCAGTTGTGCTGCCGCCGAGTCACGGGCATTCTCTGCGTCCTGTTTTTTAAATAACATTAATTTTGGGAACCGCTCTGAATTGTTTTTTGAACATTAATACTACTAACAGATACAAAGGTTTTTGCAATTCAAAAAAGGAAATTGCATAATGTGATATGGCTTGTAACTTTATCCTTTAATATTAATCGGCTTCCGATATTGCCTTGCTTTCTTAATATGTAACTGTATGGTAAAAGAACACTCATTACGAATTCACAGTATACTTTACTTATACCCAATTAATACTAATACCAATAATGTTTATTTGCGTAAACCATGGTATAAATGTTGTTAAACGTAAAAATTAGCGCTCATGTTTTGCTTATTTTACATAGCACGCAAATATTTTTTAAACAATGTTAAATATATCCTAGGCCTAAGCTATTTGAATTATAATTAGTGACATAATTTAATTGAAAATAATATCGACGTTCCGGGAAGTCTACAGTGTGTGAACATGTTCAAGATCGTCCCAACCATTACATTAGATTTGATAGACCACAAATCCTCGCAAAAGAACACCGATTCCTACCAAGGATGATTCCTTCTGATGAAAATCCTTAAAAATTAGTTTCATTTAATGAAAATAACATATAGAAAAGTAATATAATAATTATTAGTTCAATGTCAATTCTGAACATCGTCAATTTCAAGTCGCATAACTTAATATAACGCATAACGAAGCGCCGCGTCGCCGACTGCAGTCCCGAGCCACCCCGACACCTGCTTTTTTTTATATAGGAGAGGGGGCAAACGAGCATGCAGCTCACCTGATGGTAAGTGACTACCGCCGCCCATGAACAACTGCAACACCAGGGGAATTGCAGATGCGTTGCCTGCCTTTTAAAAAGGAGTACGCCCTTTTCTTGAAGGTCCCTAAGTCGTATCGGTCCGGAAAATCGCTGATGGTAATCGATTCCACAAGGAAGTCGTGCGAGGAAGAAAACATCTTCTAAATCGCACAGTGGTGGACCGCCAATCATCCAGATGGTGTGGATGGTATCGGGAGTTCTGCTGCGATGTGCGTTCGTGAAATTTGGCGGCTGAAATTAATCCGAACAATTCCTCAGAGCACTTCCCGTGGTAGATGCGAAAGAAAATGCAAAAGGATGCAACATCTCTTCGCAGTGCCAATGAATCGAGCCGATCGGAAAGGACTCGGTCGTCGACGATTCGAGCCGCTCTGCGCTGGATGCGGTCAAGTGGAAGGAGCTGGCACTGGGGAGCCCCTGCCCAGTGATGGGAACAGTATTCCATGTGAGGCCGAACCTGCGCCTTGTAAAGTTGCAAGCGGTGTGCCGGCATGAAATACTGTCCTGCTCTGCTGAGCACGCCAAGCTTTTTAGAGGCCAATTTGGCTTTCTCTTCCAAGTGACCACGAAACTGCACGTCACTCGATATGTTGACTCCGGGAGTTCCGATACTGGCTGAGGCAAGAAGAGGAGTGCCTTGAAACTGAGGAGATACGACAAAGGGGTTCTTTTTAACGGTAAACGCGCAATTTGCTTTTGGGACTCCACGAGCTAGCCCCCCCCCCCCCTGTTTGTTGCTCGATGTGAATCAAGGAGGTACGAACCTGAGCTTGAACCGCTATCGCAATGTGGGAAGGGTTTTAAGTTCGCTGTGTTTCGTATGGTGAGTGTAGAGACCGACAGACCGGAGATCCTTTTTACTGAAACCGACGCATTCCATTGTAACCTCAGTTAACCTCAGGAGGTAACAACGAACAACAAACGAGGATAGATGTAAATGTCTATGGGCCATAGCATCCACATATCCTATAGTATAAAAAACACATGGTAAGACAGCTTTTGCCATATCTTTGTGGCTTAGGTATATCTTTTATACTACCTTATGCGGGTCTTTTTTAAATAATCGTTTATGTCTATGCACAAAATTACAAATTTCAAAAATATATAGAGATGGCAGTGGCAGCCTGACCAGACCTTTACGTAGGTCACTCAATAAGTTTGAGATGCTCGAAATTTAAAAATGGAACGCACCCGTGTTATGCCGGGTTTCCACGCTTGCCAAGTCTCGGCAAGCATCCACAAGCACAAGTGTGTAAAGAGGGCGTTTGGCTTGGCTTGCGTGAGCTTGTGGACGCTTGTCCCCGATCCTTGCTAGTGTCGGTTTTTGGACACAGATCAAAGGGCGCTTGCGGCAAGCGCTTGCAACGCATTCACACGTTGGTGCGCGTTTAGTAGAAATTGTGATTTAGCGTAGAGCGCATGTTTCGTTCTTTGTTTAAAATGAGTGACTGGTCGAACGAAGAGAGTTTATCGTTTCTGGAATATTACCAGAGCGAATGGTGTATCTGGAACCCCAAAGACGTTAATCATAAAAATAAAAAGAAAGTTCATCATAAAAAAAAAGTTTCAAATGCTTGGAGTCGTCTTGCCGAGTTAACGGGAAAGCCAGTAAAAGCATTCAAAGCCAAAAATTCCTTGTTCTTGTATTACTTTGCTTGTATTTCAAATAAAAGTATGTTAAACCAAACGCAATAGCCGACACAAGTTCGGTGCTTGGGTTTACGTAGCACACTGACGCATTCACAAGCATGAAAACGACTTCCAAAGGCCAAACGAGATTTGTGGACGCTTGGGGCTTGAAGACGTTTGCCGAGGCTTGGCAAGCGTGGAAACCCGGCATTATATGATTCTAAAAAGCAAATTTATTTGAAAATAGAACTCCATAAGCCAATTGCTCAATGTTAAAAAAAAAACAAAGCTCTATTAATTTTCCTGCAACGCTTCCCGCGCTTTTCATTTAAAACGATGGATCTTAACCGTGAACATTTGTGCGCTATGATATATTATGATTTTAAATTTGGTTTAACCGAACAATTAAGTTTACAATCAGCATTAAGGGGACTCTGCTCCATCACGCGCAAAAATGTTTAGGTGGTTTGCTGAATTCAAAAAGGCTAAAATTAATCTTAAAGATGACCAAAGAACTGGGGCCCCGCAAACAGCAGTAACGGCAGAAAATGTATGGACTACTGAAATGTTGGTGCGCGAAGACCCACGAATCACATATACGGACATCGAAAAAATTGTAGTAAATTCGGGGAGCATTCATACCATCCTACATGAACATCTTGGAGTGAGGAAGCTTTGTTGTCAATGTATCCCTCGTTTGCTCCCCGAAAGCGAAAAACAGACTCGTGTGGATTGGTGCTATGAAATGCGTCTACATTTTGAAAACGGGGTATCTAGGCGTGTTTCAGAAATCGTTACTGGTGACGAGAGATGGATCTATCAATATAATCCGGAAAATAAAAGGCAATCATCGGTATGGGTCTACTCAGAAGGACAGTTACCGACAAAACTACAAAGACCTCGCAACGTAGGCAAAAGAATGGTGGCTAGTTTTTTTTTTTGCGTAGCGGACATTTGTCGACGTCAATGCTGGAAAATTGTAGGTCAGTCAACTCTGAATGGTATACTACAGTTGCATTACCCAAAGCTTTTCAAGCTGTGCGGGAGAGAAGACCAAAGACCGGGCTTCGGGGAATCATGCCGCATCACGATAACGCCTCTTCACATACCTCCCTTAGAACGAAAGCATTTATTGAGGAATCTGGTGTTGAAACTTTTTTTGTTAAACGCGCAAGCTTGTGTCTTTTTGTTCCCAAGAGTCAAAGAAAAGATAAAAGGCAAGTTGTTTTCAAGCGCGGAAGAAGCCGTGGCTACCTACGAAGAAGCGATATCCGACCTGTCAGATCAAGACTGGCAAAAGTGTTTTCAGAATTGGTTTAGGCGAATGGAACTTGGTATAGAGAATGATGGAGAATATTTTGAAAAGATGTAAAATATATATTAATAGTATCTAGAATACTTTTTGTATATCTTAAAACTTATTGTGTGTCCTACGTCCTACGGTTGACACGATTCATCATGTTGTTTTATGCAGATTGCCCTTATATGCACTTTTTCTGTGCAAGAAATGCCAATGCCATTAATAGCAGTAATTTGCAGAAATCACCCCGCTCTGATCATAATTCATTAATGAATGGTAGGTAGTCAAGTAGTGCTTGTCAAAAGATTTTACTATCAAATTCCTCCACTGTGACTTTATTGCTGCAAGCTACATACGTACCTGGACGGTCTTCTCTTGACCCTGAGTCTGCGACATTCCTTTGAAGCATCGCATTAGTTCTTTCCACAGCTTCATCATCTTATCCATCGCTTCCCGTTGTTCAGCAATTTCTTGCTGCAATTATAAAACATATACCTAACACTAACATCGCCATAAATAAATAGCATAATAAAGAAAAAAAAAAACAAATCACGAGTAATTTTTAATAAAAATATCACAATTTCGCAACACATTATTTATTTATGGGGTGCCGTATGAGACGACATCGAAAATGTCAGAAAGTTCTTATAGGTGGCGATATAATCATATTTTTTTCCGCCAGATGACGCCAATCCACCTGTCAAAAGCAAATACGGGAAGTATTTGCTTTACAACAAGAAAGGTCCATGTTCAGTGGCAGACTTTTACTGCTAATAAAGAAAAAGAACTACCCTTAAAAAGTTTCGCTGGTCTACGTTGACAAATAAGAACTTTTTATATCATCCGTGTGATAAAAAAATAAAAATCATGTAATATGACATTTGGAACGAAAGTTTTTAGAAAGCTTTTTGCTATATAATTTTATATGGTATGGATTTACAACTACCTTAACAACTCTCATGTAAGTACTTCTACCGCTCATCGTACTTGTTTCACCGTCTGGGCCACTCAAACCAGAATCTCTTTCTTTTTCAGAATATCTATCACGATCATCGACATCCCTGGAAACAACTGAATTTCGATCGAATTGCTCTAAGTTTCTTCGTGATTTTTCTTTATGTGCTAAACCATACGTACGATCTCTAGGTTCGATCCCTAGTAGTTTCTCGTCATAATATCTGTCTCTATTTCTTTCGCCATAACGTCTGTTTCTTTGTACTTCGAAGTGTTTATCTTTATGTGGATCGCTTCTAGACGTTCGTCTTATATCATCGACGTATTCCCTTTGGATTTCAAAGCTTCTGCTGGTTCTTTGTTCACAGCATTTTCTTCTGTCGTCAATGTATTTATCTCTAACAGGTTCTCTTCTGTCAACATAATCTTTAAATTCTCTTTGTTCGTGTCTACGTATGCCGTATCTGGTGTCAATACAACTTCCAGTTGGTGTATCATCTGGGGCATATGCATGATATCTATCGTCGATTACATGAGGTCTAGACTTTGTCACTTCCAATTTACTTTCACATTTGTGATTTCTGTTTTGAGAGGAACAACATACACATTTCTCTGTACTATTTTTGTGTTCAATTCGTTCTGGTACAGTGCAACTGTCTCTAACTCGCACGGGACTACGAAAATTCTCTTGACTTCGTATTCTCGATGGTGAGGTGTTTTCCCTTTGATTATGGACTTTAGACGGATAGCGATCTGGATCATAAGAATCCCGCCTTGGCATTACTTCGCACTGCAACGACTTGTGACTATGCGCTCTGGACTGCGAACAATGTAATACTAGCTGAAGTCACTGGGCCTAAGTCAAAATAACGATATAAGTTTAACAGTTACTTACGACTTCGATATCTTTATATCGCGAAGCTTTGCTGTTCATTTGAGCACATATTTTCGCAAAAGTTTCTATGAGAACAGTCTGATCTATTACGGGACCGGTGATATGGTCTTGTGTTCGTGGGCAGTGACTGAAAACAAATTGAATATATAAAGAAAAGTAATTTAACAGTATTTATAAATCTCCCAATTGGGCACTGGTCCTCCGTCCTAGGCACAAGTATTTTAGAGAGATTTGAAAAGACATGATAGAGGACTACAGTTGTCCATGTCTCTCATACTTTGGAATTTGAAACACTCAAGCTACCACGGCACTATTATTAAAAACACCTTTTAATCTTACTTATCTCGATCTCTAGGAGGCGCGGATTCCTCGCGGGGTCGTCGATGGTGATGGTGGTGGCGATGCTCGTGAGTTGCAGAAGCTTCACGTTCACGACTCGCTCTTCGCTCCTCTTGCCTTCGCAAATGTCGCTGTCTGTAGATGACGTATACGATACTACTATATGACAATAATTAACTTTTATTTTGTAAGCGACTTCCATTTTTTACGATCCTGAGACACCTCTCTCGTTTCTTTCACATTTATATATACTATCTACGCATAATATAAGCTCGTCGGCAGTGGCGGACTAAGCCCGTCAGAGGCCCGCAGCGGCAAAGTAGGCCCTTAGTTTAAGGATTTGATCTAATCTTACAAGCTTTTTATTCACTTCACATTTTTATGTATAAGTTTTTAAGTTGTTTATTGAGTTAAAATCTTATTAGTGAAATATTAATTCGATTTAAATATACATACATATAATATAGATATGGATGAGGAAATTAAAATGAGAATCGATCGGCAAAAAATCAATTAGTAAAAATAAAAAGTAGTATAGGTAGTAAAAATTATGTTATTCGTGTTTTATTTGTGAACCAAATAGTTTGCTTCGTCGTTTGTGACGCGTACAACAAAGGAGTGAAATAATTTGCCAGCGTGTCTTTCCATTCGGTGTCAATGTGTATATCGTCAAGGTAAGAGTGACTAGAGTTTTCCTAAGCTAACTTAGTCCGCTTTTTCACCCTCGGCTACATCACCACTTACCATCAGGTGAAATAGTAGTCAAGCAGACATTAAATACTAGTTAAGAGGATGGTGAAGTGCCGATAAGCGGTGCGAGTGAGTATTTTCAAATATTATGCTATCGGTTTCATACCGCTCGCTGAGTATCGCCGTAACGTGCGATAGAGTTGCAAGTCTTGGAAGCAATTGTCTACATTTCCTTTTAGAAATATTGTTTCGGGCGATAAAGTTTTCACCCCCCCCCCCCCCCCTACGAGAACCCGCCCCCCTAAACCTTTACACATGAGATAATTTATTTTGTCTTGTCTCATTAGATTCAATACACCTTAATCTAATTCTGTGCGTTTTTCTTTTTTAGTAATTTATTTAGTGCAATAAAAAACAAAATACAATAAAATATAGACATCAAATAAAAACGCATGGACCTAGTTTTCATTATATATCAACAATATATCCAAAAATAAATTTATGAAAACTTAAAATATTTTCTGGTATTTGAAAGGGACGAAGAGAGAACGAAGTGTGAAATATGGGTAAATCAGGAATGTCTAGAACAGGTAAATGAAATTGTATACTTGGGGAGTGCTTTTAGCCGGGATGGAAGATGTGATTTAGATGTGGACAGGCGTGTCGCTGCCGGGAACAAAGTCAATGGTGCCCTGACGGCGTTAGTCAAAAGGCAAGGCGTAGCGAAGAGTGCAGGCCTTGCAATACATAACGCAGTGTTGGTACCGACTTTGTTATATGGCAGCGAAACCTGGGTATGCCAGAAGAAGCATAAAAGTAAGTTGAATGCAGTGGAGATGCGATCTCTTCGTAAAATGTGCGGCGTTACCATGGCCGACCGAAAGCGAAACGAAGAGATTCGCAATATGGCAGGTTTGAAAGATGACCTTATCACAAAAATTGATAAGGGCGTGCTTCGGTGGTTTGGGCACGTTGAGCGAATGAGTGAAGACCGAATGGTGAAGAAAATATATAGCGCGAAAGTTAATAATAAAAGGTGTCGAGGTAGACCGAGACTAACTTTCGAAGACCATGTGAGCAAATTGCTCGAAGAGGGTAGGGTCAAAAGTACTCGGATACTTAGACGTGCATGCATGAAGAAGATAATGAATCTGAAAGAAGCGAAAGAGGTTTGTAAGGATCGTGACACTTGGCGATCTGTTCTCTCTGGCTACCCCGTCAGGGATTGTGCGTGAAGATAAGTTAAGTTTTAAGTTAAAATATTGAAAATTAGACTTGGTTTACGGGAAAACATTATCACTTTGTGTAAGAAATTTTGGCAGCTTCACAATCCTGTCAAAAAACTGAACTATATAAGACTTTTGTTTGAAACACGATTGATAATCAAAAATATTAACTGCTGTTGTATTTAAATGGAAAAACAAGCTTATCACTGACTTACTTCCTTTTATCTCTCTTTATAGCCTCTTCTAAGAATTGATAAATGAAAGAATCCTGATCCTGGGGCACGGATTCGATAACGGCTTCTTCTTCCTGAAAACAACTTCTTAAATCAGTATTCCACTTAAAATAAGGAAGCCTATATTTAAAAAATAAATCTTACTTGGGAAGGAGAAATCGAGCGAGGTGTAGAAACCAGGCCTGCTTTTAATGCTAATGATATTCCATCTCTCCTGAAAAAAATTGCAAATTTTAGTTAAGAATGACGATAGAACATATATATAGTATGTTTCTACGGTAGGCGGAAAAACGTACATTGACCTAAAGTATTATGTTAGCATCGACACAAAACGACAGGAATTGCTTCCATACATTTCATATCGATTACGTATCGTTTTGCGCTAAGCGTGTCACATGGTACGGGGTAGAGTGAAGGAAGCGGTCATCCAGAGATAACAAACCTGTTTCGACACGATTCGCGGTCTCACGTCGCACGTATTTGCGAGAGCGGGCGCAGCAGGACTCATCATAGTGTGAGATTTAAAATTTTCGGTTCTAGTTGTTGTTTTCATTTTTATTAAGTTTGTTTTGTTTGTTGTATTGTTACGTTTTGTATTAAAGTTTTGTTATTGTTTTGTGACGTATTGTATATTATCACCGGTATGTAATCACGTCCATCGACATCAATATCTTATAAAAATTTTACGACACCACGAAAGAAGCGAAAAGTGTCGCATACTTCGGAAAACGAAAAAAGAATGATTGTAGACGTCAATAAATATGTAAAAGAAACGTGGTCTAGTGACGTATATCCTATATAGTTTTATTATCAATGTGACGGACTCTTTCACGTCTTCGTCATCAGAAAATAATTCTGAAATAGATACAGAAAAATAGTCTGTCAAGTGTCTCTGACAATCTATTTTGAGAAGTTTTATGCATGCTTCAAGGTTGACTGCTAAAAATGCTTAGCATTAAAAGTTCGCCTTTTTACCCGACTGCCAAGAAGTGATTATGTTTTGTACAACTACCTACCTATCTAACTACTTATTAAACTACTTACCTACTAAACGTAATAATGAAAATTGTAATAACTCCTATGATTTATAAACAATAAATTTAAATTAATATTAATTTGCTTTTTAATTCATATAAGTACAGGATAATCTTCTTTCTTCATAATATAATAATAAACCCAGAGCCTGCGAAGAACTTCGCACTCGGCATTCTTATCTTTCACTCTAATGATGTATGTAATGATACAAGGATAAAAAGATAAAACCTAAGAAAAAGGTTGGCTACCCCGATGATATCGTCAAAGGTCAATGTACGTTTTTCTGCCTGCTCTAGAAACATACAATAGTTAATTATTTTAGGTTATAATATGAAGGTACGAGAATCAATACATGATTCTCCTAGATAGAGGGCTATGAGAAAATCATTACTTATCTATAGTTGCCTTGTTACCCATGAGAACTTAAATAGAATGTCTCATTGCTAAAAAGTTAATCGACGGTTCATATAACACGACATATATTGATATTTAATATGTAGTAGTTTCCTGTGAGAAAGTCGCTATCTGGTATTGAACTTGGGTCTACCCATTTTAGGTATAGGTACAATGTTGCTTTAAATTTCATAGATAAAGTTATTTTAATGCAGTACAAGTAGAACTTGTTACATTGTGTACATAATATCCTAGGTGCAGTATTGTGTAACTATCATATTGAGTTTTACTTATCAAGACATAGACAGTAAGTACAAGTGTTGTAGATTTAGTTTGTAATAAAAAAGAAAAAAAAATATCACACACAAAGCTTAAATACTCAAAGTTCAGCTGCAACCGAAACAAGGTTGGCACATTCTGCCTTACTTTACTCGCTCCATACTACATGACTACATACGTATTTAATTATTTGGTTCCTATTCAAAGTTGAATTACGATAAGCAACTGCCGATGGGCCACGATCTGATCTTATCTCTTTAGACTTCTACACCGCCGGGTGGTGGCTGCCCGCCGTGTGATAGCGGCGTGAGAGAATCATCACTCTATTTCATCCCCTGTGTGTTGTAAGAAACAACTTTGCGAAATGCCAGAAAAATCCTATGGCTTTTAATAGAGCCGTGGTAGCTCAGGGGTTAAGTGCTTACCGTAAATTTCACAGTATGCGAGCAACCGGGGGTTAGATCCCCGCTGGAACCAATGAAATGGTAACTTAAAAAAAAATTAAGTGCTGGTTTACCACGTGCTCGGCGATGAAGGAAAACATCTTGGAAATACCTGCATGATAAAAATATTATACTAAGATATGTGAAGTCCGTCAACAAGTATGTGGCAGTGCAGTGAACAATTTCTTGCCCTAAAAACCTTTCAGAAATAAGAGAAGGCCTGTGCCCAGGAGTGGGGCCGCTGTAAGTATACTGTACTGTTCCGATAGGTAATATAGATCCGAAAGGTAGTATAGTCATCTTGTTTACGCCGTACGTAAAACACTCAGACTGATGATGGACAGAATGTCAAAGGTGAAAGACTTCTGGTATTGTACGTAGTGAAGCCACGCTGCAGCTATATTAGTGGTATAGTTGTAGCACGACTGGGTCGGCTCGAACGGGGTAGGACCACGCTCTCACAGAATACCAGCGTAAAATAGCAGCTAAACGCTGCTGTTTTTCGTATGGTGAGTGTGGAGAACCGGAGACCCTTTTTACCGGAAAAGAGGCATTCCATCTTAGTGCTCACGGGTGACAACTTATCTGGATTTTGATTCTTTGTTGGGGATGATTGTAGATCTTCTCGTTTTTCACCCTATACTATAAAAAAGCACATGGTAAGACAGCTTTTGCCACATCTACGTGTTTTACTGGCGGATGAAGAAGAAGATGAAATGATTACTTGATCTTTTTATGACTTAATCAGACTTTGTGGTCATTGATATGTTTGGTCTTATTCGACTTTAAAAAGGTTCATTTGGTTGATAGACATCAGGACATCTGACAAGCGGTAATTTTGCTTGTCGGGCTGGTTAGCACTTAAGATTGTTTTTCTCAAGCTTTCCTTTTCGGGCTACTACATACATATTTTATTCACTTACGCTGCCGCACGTCTGTGTCGCCGGGGCGAACGTGGTGCTCGGTGCACTTCCACAGGAGACCTGGACATCGCTGGACTGCTATCATGGTCCCTGATTTTATTGTATAGTATTGGTATACAACATGTAGTGTAAAATCGTTTTATACGTGGTAGAGACACGCTGCAGCTATTATAGTGATATAGTTGTAGCACGAATGGGTCGGCTCGACCGGGGAAGAACACCACTCTCACAGAATACCAGCTTAACACTGCTGTGTTTCGTATGGTGAGTGTAGAGAATTTGATGATAAATGTAGGTAATTATTTTTTTACGTGGTAGAGCCATGCTGCAGCTATATTAGTAGTATAGTTGAAGCACGAATGGGTCGGCACGAATGGGTCAGCTCGACCGGGGAAGGACCACGCTCTCACAGAATACCAGCGTAAAATAGCAGCTTGACACTGCTGTGTTTAGTATGGTGAGTGTAGAGAACCGGAGACCCTTTTTACTGGAAAAGAGGCATTTTGATTCTTTATTGAGGATAAATGTAGATGTTTAGGGGCCGCAGCAACCACTTACGATCAGGTAGACTGTGTGCTCGTTCGTCACCCTATTCTATAAAAAAATAAAATAATGGTATCGTTAATCCTTCTGCAAAGCGAGGCAATTGGTAAGGAAGAAACCCATGTCCATCAGTAAGACCATGGACTTTTGTGGGGCTGATTAAGATTATAAAGCTATCCAGTTATTTTTTGCCTAAATTGTTTGTCACTAGGCATATTTCATTTTACGACTCTGAAAGCTATTTCTTAGCAAATCCCACATGTTCTTCCTTTTCATTTCGTTCGTTATTTCGCACAACACTTCGTCTTCTAGGTAGTGTTAATTAGTGGTGTTGACAGTTTAGCACTGGTTTTTTGTCGAGCACTCATGATTTGGACTGAAATCTTATTACCATATTAATTCCATACCTATAATTATGTGTGATTGTAACCTGCGTCGGATTTATGGTCGATATATATTTGCTGAAGAGCACGGGGCCTCGGGGAGCTCCATGTAAAGTATCTGGGTAAAATTGGCAGAAGTATGTAAAATAAAAATAATTGTATTGAACAGCACTTCCAACCAATTATATTTCAAAAAAAATATTTTGAACAAATTGAAAAGCTAAATTTATGTCTTGTTAAAAAATATATTAAAAGTCCATGGTCTTACTGATGATATTATTACCGTGTTACACTCTCACCATCATCATTGCAGACTATCACAAGTCAATGCTGAACGCTGAATAAAATTTGCCGTCAATAAAAGTCCTGAGCCACCTGCATCTATCGGCTCTCTGCTCAAATCTGGCCGTCGCTCTATTTAGGAGGGTAGAAGGGTCACCTACAGTTTTGAAGCTACCACTCGAGAGATTTTCTTCTCTAAACACACGTACCTACTTAGTAACTATTTTGCAATTGGTAAAACTAAAATCAAATAATATTAACCTGTTTGTGTTTGCAGTTAGGTCAGCTGGGCCAGTGGTGGTGTTTTGCAAACTTGCCTTTGCTGAACAAGCACGAAGTCCATTGATTTTTGAACCCTGGCAATGTGTGTTATATTCACTATAGGTATATAGGTAATGTCTACATGAGATCACTACATTAATATTATACACATCGGTACCCACTATCCGTACTAACTAGGAACTAATAAATAGTAAAAGAGTCCATCAAACCATTTCGTCTCGTAGCGCGGATGGCGTAAAAGGCATCCCAGAAAGATCTCATGGCTTCCGCCAGTCCTAAAATATTTTTAACGTCGACAAAGAGGTGCGTCAAAGAAAGAGGTGTAGTCTGTCTGTCGATCGTCTGGTACTTCTATCGTTCTACTTTCGATATTGCAACGTATCCATGTAGGTCTTAATTAGGGTTGCCACATTTTTTTGAACAAATATAGAATTTATTCCAAAAAAAAAAATGCAGAAATATAATACATTTTGGAAAATCATAAAAAAAGTACACGTTTATTTTTAATATTTATGTATTTTCCATATATACGTATATGATATTGCTCTTCGCTTTGACCGTCAATGATCTATTAATTCATTCATTCATACTTACTTACTTACTTATCTTCACGCACAATCCCTGACGGGGTAGCCAGAGAGAACAGATCGCCAAGTGTCACGATCCTTACATATCTCTTTCGCTTCTTTCAGATTCATTATCTTCTTCATACAAGCACGTCTAGGTATCCGAGTACTCTTGACCCTACCCTCTTCGAGCAATTTGCTCACATGGTCTTCGAAAGTTAGTCTCGGTCTACCTCGACACCTTTTAATATTAACTTTCGCGCTATATATTTTCTTCACCATTCGGTCTTCACTCATTCGCTCAACGTGCCCAAACCACCGAAGCACGCCCTTATCAATTTTTGTGATAAGGTCATCTTTCAAACCTGCCATATTGCGAATCTCTTCGTTTCGCTTTCGGTCGGCCATAGTCATTCATTCATCAATGACCTTTAAAATAATTATAGGAATCTGAGCAATTTAGATTCATATTAAAATAAATTACAATTCATTTTTAATTAAATGAATACATGCTCTATTTCTTTTTTTTTTCATTTTAGATTGACGACGGAAAAAACTCTTTCCGTAAAACTTACTTGTTCCAGAATTCCAGTCACAGTTAATATAAAAAAGCGCGACAGTGGAATTAGGGGTGAAATATAGTATTTTTCGTACTATATTATTTTTCTATAATACATAGTATAATTGACTGAAACATAGTACGATACTATATGCTATATACGGGTGGCAACCCTAGTCTTAATGCATAGATTACCCTAATCTGTGTCTTAATGGTAAAGAACAATATAATTGCTAGCTATGAGATATTCCATCTTAGGCCTTATAGGTCACAACGCATGCTTAGCCTGCCGTACAGTCGTAGCCACTTACCATCAGTTGGACTGTGGGTTCGTTTGTCACTTCAGTTTCATTAAAAAAATGTCCAGTGGTTGACTTTTGCAGGCTAATAAAGAAGTAGAAAGATTTAAATAATGTGTGATTGTTGTTTGTAAAAAAAAAAGTTGTCTACATTATCGCATTAGGTGATAAGCCTGTAAAGATAATTGTATAGTGGAAAATAATAAATAAATAAATAATACATCTATCATTTACGAGTACATAAATCTTGGTAATCAATGTTAGTAACTGTCCGCGTGGGTCCATAGGTTTTGAGTTTATGAGTTTGAATCCCACGTTTGACGAACGATGTAGCAAAGTGTTCAAGATACCTCTGACCATGGAATACAATATGTAAGATAATTCATCATTAGTTACAAACAAGTAATGGGGCAGTGTCTTGAAAACCAGCGTAAAATAGCAGCTTAACGCTGCTGTGTTTCGTATGGTGAGTGTAGAGAACCGGAGACCCTTTTTACTGGCAAAGAGACATTCCATCTTAGTCCTCACAGGCGACAACGCATCTGCATCTTGAGTCTTTATTGAGGATAGATGTAGATGTCTATGGGTCACAGTAACCACTTACCATCAGGTGGACTGTGTGCTCGTTTGTCACCCTATCCTATAAAAAAAAGTCTTTCATACAGTGTAAAATACTGTTACAGCATAATATTTGGTCTCAAATTGCCCTATTTTTAATAGTCAATAATTAAAAATATGTTTAATTTCTGCAGGAGTTTGTATAGGTCTTTACATTTGCATCAAACAGTCTTACAGTTACGAGTACATCATACTCAGAAATAACAATAACAAATGCTTTTAACTTATGTCTGTTTATCTCACATTCAAATACTTACGTTGTTAGAGTCATCAGTGGCTAAAGAGTTGTCGTCCACTACATCCCGCTTTTTTCTCGTACGCTTACGTTTTGAAGCATCAAATACTTTGAACAATTGTTTACTATCACTTTGCTGACACTCCATCGAATATAATTAAGCATGAGAGCAAATAAACTTAAACTAATTTATTCATTATTCTTATTACGGTAAGTGATTTATTTTATTGGTAAAAGATAATTGCAAAATCGGAATTTTAACAAATTATTGACCAAACAAACACGGGCTAAGTGATAGACGTCAATTTTGCGTGGATATTGAAAAAAGAATTCTGAAACTCTTAGCAGCAACAGATTATTAGTTGCCAGCTGCAACGTCAACGAGAAAAGCGTTAATGATAAACAACAATAACTTCTATATACCTATTTAAATGAAAATTATCTCCTTCACCAAGGTTTGTCTGGAAGAGATCGCTGTTTAGCGATAAAACCACCTAATTGTACATTCATTTATAAATTTAAGTTTGCTGTGTTGTGTAGTATTTTGTGTGCAATAAAGAGTATAAATAAATAAATAAACAATATCTACTACCCTAATAACACAGAATAAATAATATGCTCATAATCACCCATATCATCCCGTCAGGGAAACAAATCAGGACAGCAGTCTTCCTGATGACACTTAGAAAACAAAAAAATACGGTGGCAACCGTATTTTTTTGTTGCCAATGCCAAGCGTGGCAACTTTGGTAAAGGGGGTGCCTTTTAAGGCAATCTATGGAGACTTATCTATGATACAAGCAAAAGAAAGTTACAACGAAGTTATGTATTTTTCCTTTCATTCCGTTTTGTATCAGTGGACCGCTGGCTAATCCCTCTTGTAATCCGACATGCCTTTAACATGTAGTTGCAATCAAGTCGCGTTATGAATCCGCCACGGGGGGAAGTATCTTTCGCGAATACGTGGACAAGCAGGATGCAATTAGTTCGCGTTAGGTATTCACTGATGCACCACATGAGTGTTTTTTTTATATATTTGATATGCAATTTGTCGCATTACAAGGTACCTACTCTTTTTCAAAAAGATCCGGACTACCAGAGGGCTGCGGCTAGTCCGAGACCGCCTTGCAAAACGTTAGTCGGATTACCGCGGGTCAACTGCAATATTTTGATAAGCATAGCCCATGAGAATGGAACTAAACGACAAACCATTTACCCAGTACATTCTAAGTCTATGCCATCTACACGACAAAGCTAGGTTAGGTACCTAGCATTATCCAGATTTAAGGCGGCGGCAGAATTAGACCATATTTCAAAAAGTGTCTGTAATTAATTCTCGATTTAGTATAATTGCAAAATGCTCCACATCAATTGGACATAGGCCTCTTCATATAAGTATATAAATATGAAGCCTGTATATATGAAGCAATGAGTCCGCTGTCATAGAGAGATAATGTTACTACGTAACCGCTGTGCTGCTCCAGTGCGTGTTGGCAGAATTTACATGTTCTAAAAATTCGCCTGAACTATATGTTCTAAGTTTCCTCACTTCACAGCCGAGAACGTAATAGATCAAGAAAATTGCAATTAAAAATATCATTGCCTCCGGCGGGGTTTATAATAGCGCTTAGCCTCAAAGCTAATGCGGCCCCTTATTTTGAGAAATAATTAAAAATTGCTACAGACTGAAGGAGGCGAAATTCAGCAGTGAACTTGTGATGGCCTGACGCCCGAGTTTTAATATCAGGAACGAACTCTACGTTTGAATAAAAATTTGTTTGTTGTTCATCTTGTAACTTATTTTACCAAATTGAGCATAATAGTTTCCTTTTTATCGCGTAATAGCGTGAATTCTATTTCTCAAATTATCTCTCTAGTGATTATTTTCATGGCATCTGACGCTACTTACTGTCTGGGTCCGAATAAGTTTTACTCTTCATCATTCGTGAATAGTTGTGTTGTTAGCCTATTGTACCAAGTAATTAAAATAGTTTAATAAAGTGTTATTATTTAATACAGACTATGAAAATGAGGTAAAGGTTATTTATTTTTAACTTTTATTAGTAAAAGATTTACCCAAATAGAAATTACACCACTTAAGTATAAAGACATTTAGTTTCATCGTGTTTCGCCTTAACTAGTCGAACTATTCGTACCAGGTAAACATACTCGTCAACAACTTCGAGCGTAGTGTTCCCAACATCTACCGGCTACGTTACACATGACCTTCGTTTTGTCCATGTTTATTTTTAACCCCCGACAAAAACAGAGGGGTGTTATGTTTGTAGTGTGTACGTGTCTGTAGCATCGATTTTGATTGTTTTTTTTATTTCGTTTGAAAGATGTCATAATCAAGTGTTATTTTAGCTATGTTTCAAGAAAATCTGTTCAGCCACTTGAAGATCATCAATTCTTTTTGTTTCGGGGGTTTTTTAAATTTTTAATTGAACACTACTGACATCATTAAGCATATTGCTTAGGTCCTTCAGCGATTCTGGCATAAGGACTATATTATGGATTTATGTTTTCTCTTCAAGATGGACTTAAAAATAAGGATATCTGCAGTAGAACCAGAGTAACTGACATAGACCAACGGATTCGTAAGCTGATATGGCTACGTGCCGGCCATATAGCTCAAAAAACCGACAACCGTTAGGGAAGAATGGTTTTCGAGTGGCAGACTCGTACCGGTAGACAATGTGTAGGGCGGCCCCGCACTAGATGGAGTGACGCCCTGGTAAGACATGCAGGAAGTCGATGGACGCAGGGGACTCAGGACCGTGTCGTGCCATTCCTTGGGGAAGGCCTATGTTCAGCAATTGACTTGTGAAAGTCTGTAATATATGTATGTAAATGATAATGTAATTCATAATAGCGTTTGAAGATCCGATATTCCAACAGCAAAAGTCTATTGCGAAGAACTTCGAATAATGATTGTGAAACTCTCAAAGAAAAACACCCTATTCATCAATTAATTTTCGCTATTTTTGCTTCATAAAAGCAATACAAACTGTTTTAACATGACAAGACCTGCAGTTAGAAACCATAAGTCACCGTCCATACTCTCCAGAATTAGTCACAATGAATTACAATTTTTTCCACAATTTATTAACTCCCTTCAAGGAAAAAAATTTCGTTCTTAGAAGAAGCACAAAATACCTTTTTCCTGTATCCAGACCCCCAGAGTTCTATCGCAAAGATTTCTCTTCTCTTTTATCTAACCTCAAGATAGCAGAATATACTTTGATAAAAAAAATCTTAGAAATAAAGTGTTTGCATTTTTCAATTTAAAACGGTAATTGATAACTTAACACCAGAGTATATAGAATTTTTATAGCACTCCTATTTTCCTCCTCAACGATTCAGCATGACCTAGTTAAATTTATATCAAGGATTGGGATGAAAAGTAGGCATAAATTTAGTTTATATGCAATGTCAAAAATAGTATTATTTTTAATAATTATTGAATAAAATTTATGTACATAAAATGTAAATTATTAAATAATAATCAATAGTGAAAGGAATGAAATCTTTCAAAGAAAGAAACAGTCAAATGAAAAATGGATTGAAGAACAGAAAAATGTTTTCCTTGTAAATTTTAAATACTATATTTCAATCCTCATATATTTCCTTTCGTATACCACACAAGTTTATCCATTGGGACTGTCAATGAGCAGAATGAAATAACTGCAATAGATGTTTTTGTCAAATTAAATTTTCACAAGCTTTAAATATAAATTACAATACATACTTGAAACTGTTTGGTCATTCAGGAAGTTGTGATATTTTTACAGGGTTAATGAACATTTTTATAAATAAAATTTAGAATATTAGAAAGGAAGAGTTAAAAATGCCAATTCAAAAAAAAGGTAAAATTCAGATTCAATTTCAATATATTATAGATTATTGTAATAATTCACATTAAACTTAATTAAATCTTATAGCCCACATAAGCTCCTCACACTTCACTACTTCTTTTATAGACAAAGGCGCTAAAGGTACTCGGTATAAAATCTCCATCATAAAACCAATAAACAGATTCAAGTCCCATTTTATTATAAAAATCAAAATTACGAGTTATAATACATCTGTTTCTCAATCGAACAATAGAAATCGATTATAGCACATTGACATTCTTGTAAATAAATCATCATGGACATAAATAACAAAAAATTGGATTGTACAGCCTAACATTTCAGACACCGCTATAAATGATCTCCGAGTCACGAGAAACGGAAAACCGTGCGCCGCGTCCGGGGCGCGGGTATCACTATATGTACACGTACCGACAGGTAGTTCAGTCTGCGCCGCGTCACTCGGGCACGCGGCTCACTTCACTTCACTTCACTCGAGCACAGATCAGTCGGGTTTGCGACACCACACACACACACACACAAGAGTACGCCTAGTGTTCGTGTTGCGCGGTCGCGGGAGTAGTCGCGTCAAGTTCGGTCCGCTGGCTGCAGTGGTAGAGCACGTCGGCGAGCTCGTGCGCCACCTTCTGGTCGAGGATCTGGCTCATGACGAGCGAGAGCAGGCGACGTTCGTGGCGGCGGATGAGCGGCCGGTTCTCCGGGTGCTCGGCCAGGCGCAGCAGCGTGGCGGCCGCGCGCCGCAGCATGTCGAGCGACGTGCCCATCGCGTCGGGGTTGTCGCGCAGCGCCGCCACGCCGTGCTGGTTGGCCACGCCCAGCGCCGCGTGCTCGGCGCGCTCGATGAACGCCACCAGCTGCGCCACCGCGGGCGCGTGCAGCGCCACCTCGCGCGCCGCCGCGCCGCCCGCGCCCGCCAGGTAGTGCAGGATGTTGACGGCGAACTCGCGCAGCACGGGCCGCTCGGGCCGGCACAGGTCGCGCGCCAGCCCCGCGCACAGCTGTGCCACGCGCCCGCGCGGCGGCGTCGCCAGCACCAGGTCCACGTTCGCGTCCGTCACGCACAGCTTGCACAGCGCCTCGAGCGCCAGCCGGCGCGGCGACAGCGGCGAGCCGGCCGCGGCCGCCGGCGGCGCGTCGCCCGCCACGGCCGCCGGGCACACGCTCCAGTGCAGCAGCCCGTCCAGCAGCGGGCGCGCCACCGCCTCGGGCTGGCCGGCCAGCTCGACGCCGCCCGCGATGTTGGCGCAGCACACGAGCGCGTCCTCGCGCAGCTGCGCCAGCGTGTCCCACCACCACTCGGGCTCGCCGCGCAGGCTGGAGCAGCACGCGTCCACGTCCGCGTCGTCGCGCGCCGCCCGCTCGTAGGCACGCGCTCGTGCCGCCCGCGGCGCGTGCTCGTGGTGCAGCAGCAGCAGCTTGCCCGCCACCGCCAGGAACGCGCTCGACCGCGAGAACTCCGCCTCGTTGCCGGGCACGAACGTCAGCCCGCGCAGAATGTTCGACAGCGCGATGCACCGTTTCGCGAGCGCGTCGCGCGTCTCGTTCACGAGGTTCAAGCTGGGCTCGTCCCGCGTGTAGCACTCGTCCTCGTAGTCCTCGAGGCGCCGCCGTTTGAGTACGCCCGCGGGGTCGCGGACGAGGAGGGTGGGTCGCCGCTCGGGTTCCAGTTCCATGGGCTCCGCTTCAAGATTGTCGCGGTCGGACGCTAGCGGCGTGTGGGCGTCGGGCGCGTCGGGCGCGTCGGGCGGGTCCGGTGTGGGCGTTGGCGTCGGCGCCGGCGCCGGTTTGGACTTCGTGACGAGCTCGGTCTTCGCGGCGGGTTCTGAGGCGCGCTGCGACGGGAACACGCGCACGAAGGGCAACGGAAGGAACTCTGCGCGGAAACACGGCACCACGTGGGCAGCGCCCCCCGAGTCGCCGCTGAACTGCCACGGCTCCAACACGTCCTCCACGCGCTCGCCGTCCGATTCGCAGTCTTCGGGCGCAAACAGTTCGTCGTCGCCCTTGTACACGACAGGGTGGCGCCGCCGCGACTGACACGTATAGTTTTCGCCAGAAAGCACGCGTACGTTGTCGGCGGAATCGGGGGGCTCGGCTCTTCGGCGCACTTTGGCGGGCGGCTCGGCCTCGGCAGGAACGGCGTACCACGGCTCATTTTCAGGAATCGGCGCGTCGAATACGTCACTCAAACTTTTATGGAAATGCTCGAGCAATAAGTCGAGAAGTCCGGGCATATGTTGCAGTCCAAAATAGCTTATACAGTTGTCATCGAAAAGCAATATGTTTAAGATGTCGAGCGCCCAACAGGTTTCCGCCAGCAGACCGGATTTTAAGGCCATCATTATTCGCCACGCATCAACTGGTGCGACATCGGCCTTCGTGAGCCGCCGCCGTTTTTCGGCAGTGGGTACTGTCGCTTCCACACAATCTGGAGGGAACGTCAACTCTCGCTTGATTTGTCCTGCTCCTACGCCTGGTACTGCACCCTGCATATGAAAACAATTACTTTAAGTATATTTATTCATACACTCTTTAACTGTCATTTAAAATAAAATAGAAATAATCAATAACTGTAATCTTAGAACATTACAGAAATTTAATTGGTTACATTTCCATATATACTTGTATATGTGGTCGAAATTCTGTGGTAAAAACAGCGCTACGAATTCGTTCGCAACACTTTTTATTATAATTTCCCATGCAAAGAAGGCAAAGTAACTTTTGCTCATATAGTTATGAACATGATCAAAATGATTTCATTTAATTGGTTAAAGATGTTTGTACGGAAACATAATTTGTGAACATGTTTACTTTTCTGAACTGCTTTAATAGTAACATACTTTTTTTTTGTGTACATCTGTGGCACAGTACCTTTTGAATGATATTAGTTTCATCCCTTTTCTTAAACAATATATATTAAAATAGGTACTTTGATTTTTGATGTGTATGTATTATAAGTTAATAATTATGTACAGAAGATGTTTCAGGAAAATTTATAATTAATATATTATATTATATACATTAAGAATTACTATAATACACGTAATATTGTATATTTAAAATACACACAAATACCTACGTAAAACATACGTGTATGGAAATTAAATCATAAACGAACGATTTAAGAATCATGGATAACTAATAGAATTATGAAACGAATACAAACTATGATAAAACTGTTGCTACGACCATGTTAGATAAGCACTAAAGCCAGAGAGAAAGAGCAAGCAGTAATAAAAGGGAAATTATAAAGAGTGAATAAAAAAAATTGTCGCAGACTGATAACATTCCATATTACTGACATAACCGCATTTTATTATTTTTGCGAAAAATTTACCTAACTGTCTTCTTATGTAGATTTATAAAAAAAAAGTTTAAAACGAGCTGCTAAATGCAGCTAGCAAATATATCCTTAATGCGTATTAAAATTTTAGTAGTATAAATACTAAATGAGTTCTGAGAGTAATGAGAGTAATGAGCAACTAAAATTCTTAGTTAGCGACGACTAGGTTAAGCCCAGCACCACCGTAACCTACTGGTAACTATCTATATGGCAAGTAGAGAAATAAATCGAGGAATATGTGAACAATTTTTTCTCTGTGATTTCTGTATTTTGTTTGTAAAGCGTTACACGATAGAGGGTGTCAAACAAGTGTTAAGCTCATGCAAAGCACTATTGAAATTAGATCGAAAATTTGCTATTTATTAACATGCGTGATGTCGGACGTATACGTGCGCCAGTATTGCGAAGTAATATTGCATTATTTTAAAGATAAGTTCTGTCGAATAATGGCGCACGTAGAGTGAATTAGTGCTACCGCGTTCTCACGTCTGATAAGTCAATAAAACAACTATTGCGCAAGTTGTTTATCATCGCTCTTAATGTCGTGACCTACATACGCAAACACCGTGCATACGCACACACGCGTAATGACATGTTATGTGATTACGCGCGTGTGTATGTGTGTATTAGTGCGTGCGCGTGCGTAAATTTGAGTTTGACGGCTCCTTGGCGCAATGGCTTAACAATGAGTTGTTGCGCTGGGGGCCGCGGGTTCGAATCCCGCATGGAACAAGTATTTGTATGGCCTACAAATAATTGTTGCTGGCCTGGATGTTTGTCCTCGTGCAATTAATGTTTGTAAACTGCCTCCACGACACAGGAGAAAATCCTAGTGTGGGGGTAACGTTTTTACTATTAAAAAAATACGTTCGTGTATACGTAAATACCAGCGTACACGTACGTAAATACGGGCGTGCGTGTGCAAAAATACGTGGGTGCGTGTATGTAAATACATGGTTGCGTGTGCGTGTGCGTAAATACATATACGTGCCAGCGTGTAAGCAAATACATGGTTGCGTATTGCGTGTATACGTGTGTGCGCGTGCGTGCACTCACAGGCGACGGCGCGGCGGGCGGCAGCTCTAGCGGCGGCCGCGGCGCGCCCCACGCCGGCCCGCCCGGCGTCTACACAACACACACGAGTCAGCCCACCTGTGCAACCATTCCCGCTCCCCGCTCCCCACACCCCGCACCCCGCTCCCCGGCCACCTCACCACACCACACCGCGCCCTAAGGTACCACGACCACAACGCTACCGCCCACTTCACTAGCTCACCTAAATATTTACACCTAACTGCAGGTCAATAATGAAAGGTGGACACAACATTGTATACATTTCAAGTAACGCGGTACTCACGCACACATATGCACCTCCCTGCATGTTCTTACTTATTGTAATATAAGTTAAGCATGATTTCAGAGTCAATTGAGGTTTTCATGGTTTTCACAAACATTTCACAGGTTTCACGAAAATGTGACAGTGATGAAAAATAACAGTATTTTATATTTTATTGGAATCCAGTATAATTTTTTCAAAGGATCGATTCATTATATATTTCACTAAATGATATGAAGATTTTTGAGTTCATAATTTGCTTTTTAGTAATATTTTATTAGTATTTATCCGGCCAGACAATGAATAACGCTCCATTCCGTTACCAAATAAGCATGGTGGTTTTACCAAATCAAACACAATTTGAACTTGTTAGCAGTTTTTAATGTGTCTTAAGAACTGTATTGGTATAAAATAGTACAAAATTTTAATAAATAAAAGTAACAGACTTTAATTATGTCAGTCTTTATTTCCATTACGTTACTATTTGACCGGCTGTCACACTATTTTTATCGAAAAAATTACGAAGCCTTTCGAAAAAATACAATTATTATTATTTTAAAATAAACAATAAAATTAAGTAATCAACAAAAATAGAACAGTCACCGAAGGGAATAGTAAACTTTCGGAGTGGAACTGTAAAGAATAGTTTACATGTAGGAAGAAAAAATGCACCCATTTTTTTACGTTTACACTTCCTACAATTACACTCACAAGGATATCGGAATCTTTAATCACACATAGTTTGTAACAAGTCTATTTAATTAAAGATGATAATGATTTCTATTTGCGTGACTATAGTTAAATGTTTCGAAATTTAATTTATAAATGAAGCGTGCTTTTTATATTTATTTTAATACGCTCAAAGTGATCAAGACCATCAAAAAGTTTACAAAATAGAATCAGTGCCACAACACGTGAGTGTTGTTTTATTACGTTATAGCTCGCCGGAATCGAGTCAGCAAAAAACCGATAAGGATCACGTGGTTAAGAAACAAGATAATAGCAAAAATTAATATCTGGCATCGATTTTAATGTATAAACATAGTTTTTGGGGTTCCGTACCCAAAGGGTAACCTACCTAACCTAAGGAGACCCTATTACTAAGCCTCCGCTGTCCGTCCGTCCGTCTGTCTGTCAGCGGGCTGTATCTCATGATCCGTAATACGTAGACAATTAAAATTTTCATAGAATGTGTATTTCTGTTGCCGCTATAACAACAAATAATAAAAATAAATTAAAAATTAAAAGGGACTCTCCTACTAGAAACCTGATTTACGATGGTACGGAACCCTTCATGCGTGAGTCCGACTGGCACTTGGCTGGTTATTATTTTTATTTGTGAACGTTATACTTCAATGGCACGAAAATATATTCCAAAAGTTGTATTCGTCAAAAATATAAACCTCCCTTAACAAGCCAAAAATTAATTTTTTTTTAAAGTTTCTCCCACACTAGGATTTTCTCCTGTATCGTGGAGACAGTTTACAAACACTAATTGCACAAGGACAAACATCCAGACCCGGAACAATTATTTGTAGGCTATACAAATACTTGTTCCGTGCGGGATTCGAACCCGCGCCCTCCAGCGCATCAACTCATTGCTAAGCCACTGTACCACAGAGCCGTCAAATGTCAAATATGAAATTATTGAAAGCGGTTTGAGTAGATTACAAACAAATAATAGGTACTTATATAAATTAAATATATTAATTACTGCAGGTATGTAAACCAAGCTTTATGTTTCCATTCCGTTACATTTTTTGTTCCGCTTCTACGAAACCGTAAATAAAGTTTCGGAGTGGAGGTAACGGTATCAACACTTGCACAACATATGAAAGATTCATCACAATTCTACTAACTGTTCTGATTTCTAAATTTGAAAATTGGTTTTAGTAATATATGTATATTCTTTTAAAATAATAGTACAATTAAAACAAGTTTAACGTACCATTAATTTTGGTATCGGATCGTGGACATTTTGAATGTGGAAAATGCAATCGCCTGACACTCACTACTCCAACATTCATAACGCTCGAATGACGTAAAACAAAAAGACGGTTGCTATTTCGTTGTAAATATGTGTTGCTACCTATAAAATAATAACCAAATTGGTACTTTATTTTAGTTTTTCTACGTAACAAATCTTGGTTTCGGAATGGAGTTTTCCACCATGGTCAGATTATCGACCTAAACTTTAACGATATATTATTTAAATTCGCAGACCTTGATTAATACTGCTATAGCTTTTGATTAAATGATAATCTTATGTTTAAAATGCTATGTGTTAGTTGTATTCCTTATGAGTAAAAAGACCAAGAAAAACTGTATTTATTTTCATAGCCTGGGTATGGGACATCATAAAAAGCTGTATCATAATGGCTTTAAAATTATTTTAACTACTTCATTTATCTCCTCACCCCAACTTTTTATGCCTACGAGTGTTAAAAACTACTAAACTACCTCAATAGCTATACATAATGTAAAATAAAGTTATCCTGGGCAGGTACCAACTATCTTAAGTCATGGGACATAGCAAAAACTCAACACGAAATAAATAGTGAATCTGCTCATGTACGTATTAGTCCACCTTTCTTTTCTGGTCTGAACCTAACTTAGTTGTTCGTTAAGATCGTTCACACAAACACACTTTCATTGCCATGATTATTTCTTGCTCTTATTTTATAATTTCAGTGATTATAAACGTTTAAGTTATATTATTGAAATGTAAGCAATAAATTGAACATGTATTTACAAAAGATTTCAGCCAAACGCAAACACAGCTAAGTCAAATCAAATAATCGACGCTCCGGGAAGTCTGCAGTCTGTGAACACGTACAGGATCGCCCCCGTCACTACATTAGATTTGATAGACCACAACTCCTCGCTAAAGAACACCGATTCATTCCCAGGATAATTCGCGAGGCTATTGAAATTAAAAAAACATCCTAATTTCAATAGAGAAGATGACTGGGTGCTACCATCTGCTTGGGTTCCCATAATTAATAAAATTAAATACCAACCCAAGCATACAACTGTAAGACTTCAAGATACTGTAAGTTCATACTGCGTAGATCGGAACAAAAATTAATAATTTTTAATCTGGAGGTAGCCGTGGTTATCTATGACATTGGGACGTCATACACCTCAGTCCCCCCCCCCCCGTGACCATGGGTTCTGGAAAGTGCTCGAAACGTCGGGAATATCAAATAAGTTAATATACGCGATAAAATCCGTAAAATTAGTTTTATTTAAACAGCTAAGTCAACATAAATTAACGTGTTATGCTTAGTTGTATGTAAAGATATATCTATAAAAATATAAGAGCTATAGGCCATTAATAATAAAAGCAATTATGAGTGGATCACTATGGTAAATTATCGATTACGTATGAAAGTTATGCGAAATAGAAATGATATGCAACATAGTATGAATATTATTAGTTGAGAGGATAATTTCATGGTCACTCTGGAGAAACTATCAAGCCAGTATTCGACAATATGTATGTAAACTATCCATTTAATATTTTGGACTAGAGTTTGCGTACATATGTAATCACTGATAAATAATCAGTGATACCAACCAAAGTAACCAAGTAATTATTTTAAATAAAATTTATGAAAATGTAAGTATTTATATAATTGTTGCAAATAACAAAACTGAATCATTCCTAAATTATTAAAAAATATAATAATTACTTTTTAAGTGTATGATACTTTTTTCCTAACCCTATCCAAATTGTTGTGATCTAAAATTTCACTTGATAATATTTTAACTGCTCAGTATTTTGATAATGTAACATATAACTTATAATGTAGCATATAACTTATTATCATTGTTCATAATTGTCACTACCCGGCATGAAGACTGCTATAGAGATTTTGAGATAAGATAGATATCTAGAATATAGAGAAGATATTATTTATTGTAATACTATGTAAGCTCACAGCAGTAGCATTGTGGTCATGATCTACTATTAAGTGTATCCCATCCACTTTAGTAGTAGCCGAATGATTATGCAAGATTATATGTACCCCAATTAGTTCACAGGATATGCATATACAAATATGTCATGTTTATAAATTACTTAAAAATATAATGCAGTATGAATTAAATATATCTAAGTAATAACAGTTAGTAAAAGTATCATTATCAGTAAATAATTCATCCGCGAAGATGCACCATATTTAGATTTTTTTAGAAATAGTTTATATTACGAGTAGTTCTAGCACACACTACTTAATTGTATATATTATGCTAATAAATATGTTGGTATACTAATAAATAGTATTGTGACAAGGCGAAAAATAGTACATTTGTGAATCCAACTATATACTATATAAAATTAATGAGATATATTATAACATATGCTAGTGTTTGTATCATGCACTAGTTAGATATCTGTACGTAGTGTGCATAACATAAATTAATTACTCAAAGCAAATAGTATTCAACTTTAATATCATTTCTTAAAATAGTGGAGCATTGTAAATATTTTTGACAAGTGATAAACTTTATGAAAATTGGTTACATAATATAATAATAAACAAGTGTGTGTTACACACTGAGTACAGACTTGTACATATATATACAATGTCATTGAAAATGAGAAATTCAAATAGTGGGGTGTCTTCGTGGATACTATCTACATGTAATACATAATAAATATATTTCTTTTTAAATTCATTATTCAGTCTATCTTTCTTTCTCACTGCTTATTTGTGTGTCAATCTGTCTGTCTCTCTCAGATTCTGTAAAACACTCTGTGTTTACTTTGGTACCTGTTTATTTCATTTTTTGCGCGAGTCTGTCTTTTCATTATTACAGTTTATCACTTCTGAACAGAGCCTTTCCCATAGATTGCCCCATATGGGGGATATTTGCTATAATTTCCACGTTTAGTAGACGAGTTGCCAATCGTAGTTTTTTTTAAATTATTTGAGCATTTTACAGTAAAAATCTGCTACATATTTTCTGTTCTCATATTCCTCTGTCGTCTGTTACGATATCCAATAAATGCAGGATATGGGGTAGTAGATTCTACTGTTTTGAAATTAACGATCATTATTTCAAGGTTTAGGTGAGGTAACGATCATTATTTCAACATTTTAGATTTAAAATTTAAAAAAAAATATTGGATAGATGCCATTTTTCTTGTAAAATTGTATGATAAAGAAAATTCGGTGTAATCACCACACTGAGTAGTCGGATTGGCGATCGCTGCATCGTAAATTTGCACTCTTTTACTATCGTGTATGTGCGTGTGTGCTCGTGTGTGTGTGGGTGTGAGTGTGAGTGTGTGTGTGCGTGCGTGCGTGCGTGCGCGGGCGCGTACCTGCGGCTGGTAGGGCTGGTGCGGCCAGGCGGGCGGCTGCGCGGCGGGCAGCGGCGGGCGCCAGGCGGGCTGCGGCGCGGCCGAGCGCGCGAAGCTGCCGGCCCACGCGGCCGGGAAGCGCGCGCCGGCCGCCGCGAACGGCTCGCCCTTCGCGAAGTCGGGGTGGCGCCGCGGCGCGCCCGCGCCCACGCCAACCCCGGGCGCCGGCGCGCCGCCCGCCGCCGCGCCCGCGCCCACGCCCACGCCCGCGCCCGCGCTCGCGCCCACGCCCACGCCGCCCGCGCCCACAGCGCTCGCGTTCTTACCGCCGCCGTACTGTCGGACACACACCTCGCATTATAACCTCGTCCCTCTCTCTATACTCTTCAATCTCTATCTATTGAACCGATCAAAGCGACCACGTAATATCCGTTATTAGAGTCTATCCAGAAAAATCCTCCACCTAATTCTATAACGCTCTCGATATTTTATTTCTTCTATTTATTCAAATGATACAAATTTAAACCTATCGGATATTAGAAACATCCTTCGATTGACTATTTCATCATCAACCTAAAATATTGACATGACAATATTTCATATTTTCTATTCAACAGTTGTCTCATTCTACTATTTACTCACAATTAAAAAGGTGTATCTAGTTCCCCTGTTAACATCAACAAATAAAAAAAAAACCGAAATCACATGAACCCATGCCATTTTTAATCTATGTCCATCATAAATAATAGCAGAAGTTTTATATCATCTATTCGATTATTAATTAAATAAATCACATCTATGTAAACCAATAATAAAGCCATATGAAAGAGTCCTCAACCACTAACACCAATTTAATTTTTAATTTTATTTTCATTTTTATTTTTCTAGTTAGACCACAAAGTACAAGAAAGTTATCTAAGCTTCAATATATTTTATCTACAAACTCCATGGTTCAATAAATAGAGATAGTATTTTAATCTTTAAACCAACAAATTCCTAACCACTTAGTAAATTCAGAACAGCCTTGCGCTCCTTTTAACTGTAAGCGAATAATTTAAAGTCTTTAGCAAACAGAAGTCTGTCATAATTTAATGACAATATTAATTACTTTTAGTAATGCAATAATCAAATAAAAAATTACTTTTGGAAGTTACGCAACTATTATTAAAAGTAAATACAATCGTCATCTTGAAGAAGCTGAAAATGAAAAATTTAATATGTTTGTTTTGGTAAAAAAATCTATATTGAAATAAAAACAAACATATTAAATTAAAACGTGTTACGCTAGCCATTAACCCAAAACGTATAGGTTAAATTAAAGTATGATGATTTTAGAACGAAGCATCAGTCGAATGAATCACAATGCAATAAATTACTTTCATTATGTATTATTACTTTCATTGGCATTAGATACAGTACTTTCGAATAATATATCGGTGCATTTATAACCAAATTTACACAGAAAACAAAAATATTCAATCACATTTATTCTTATTTTCTTTCAAAATTATTAAGTTACCTTATAAAAGTTCTGCTCTAAAAGTTCTGTTCATCTCTAAAAAAACTTTTAGATGCATCCGACGGATGTTACCGCAATATAAACAAAGCTACACTTCTGTTACACTTATAGCTAAGCTTAAATGACCTCTGTGAAATGCATGCAAAATGATTCAGTGGTCAATATAATATTGTCAACGTGTAAAGCCACCACCACACACTCTATACCTTCACTTCCATATTTAAAACTGTTTGTTAAATTTTGATAGGTAAACGGGTTTTGGTTCAGATTAAAAAACGGTCATCCTGTCTTTCGACCGGCGCCCGCGCTGTTGTTATGCCAATTATTCACACCGCAAGCCAAAATTTAGTTAAAACGAAAACAGAAGAAAAAATTAACAGTGATAGCTGAAATTTCGTTAAGCGAGTGGTATTATTCAAAAATAATGAAGCCAAAACCACGAATGATTGCCCCCACATTGTTGTCACTGTTGGCCTCATTGTGATTGCTTCTATAGATATGAGGAAACGAAATCAATCACGATGGGAGCAACAGCCACGCCTGTCTGACATTGGATCACTATTGAAATTAAAAGAAAATTCATTAATTTTACTGCATCTTTTATGATTTAAAACTACAATGAATTTATTAATTGTTTCATTAAATATAACAGATATTGTTATTTTTTCAGCCCATAATAAATCGTCTAATGACCTGGGCTGGATATGAGCTTTTCATATAAAAGAATGATTTGTGATTACTCTTTATTCCATTTTTAGTTAGATTTGGATTCCTAATATTGTTGGTGTTAAGAAATAGAAAATCATTTAGTAAAAATTCCAGTAAAAATATACACTAGATACAATTCAAAGTTTTAAGTAAGGCTTAAGCAGTGATAGCGAATTGATTAAACTTTCTGAGGAATAATTGTTTTTTCTTTTTAATTTACATTATGGTTGCTTTTTTACGTATAGATTTATTTTTGCTAGACTCTATAACCGTGGAACATACTATAGGTGTTGCTAAGCTTCTCGACATGTCGAAAATCTTAACGAAAATTAAAAATAAGTTAAAATTAATCGAGATAAAATCCGTAATGTTAGATGGTATTTTGTTATATTAGATGTTTTTTTATCGATGTATATGGTATGAAAAGAGCACCAATATTATTAAAAGTGATACTAAATATTATCATTTTGATCTCCGTGAAAAGTGAAATATCCAATAGTGATCGCAGCGTGGGTGGGGTGGGGTGTGCGTGCGAGCATGAGACCGTATCGCCAATCGGATGTGAAGCGGTGTGGAGTGCGTGGTACAAACGTCCGTACGTAGGGCCGCGCGCTGGGCGGCAGCGGCGCCACCAGCTGGCGCGCGAGCTGCGAGCTCATTAGGTTACCGACCGACTGCTGGGCACCCGCGCCCGCGCCCGCGCCGCCCGACATCTACACACCACACAACAGACCGTCACACACTGCGCCCGCGGGCCAGGGGCGGGGGCGGGGGCTTTGTGCCTGCCCTACCTTCACTATGGCCCTGCCCTAAGGCCGGCCCTCCTCCACTAATAGGAATTGCCAACAAATGGGAGCGATAATTTACTTCTAAAATATGACTAAAAACCTAAATTAACTTCAAATTAACATCGATATACGTATAATTAAACATATATATTATATACACATAAAACAGAATTTTTTGTTTTTATTTTAGTATTTAGTACATGGTAAATATTTAAGCTGCAAAATGTTGTTTTTTTTTTGCAAGACGTAAAAGCTCCCATTTTTTTCCAATATATACCAATGTGGACTGTGGCGAATAACCTTCCATCTTAAAACCATTGTTTCCAACATCATACATCAAACAAACATTTTTAAAATTTTAAAATTAAAATAAATAATAATAGTATGCTAAAATAATATATATCTTTCATATTTCTATTTTTCACCTGATTTTCACGTAAGTCTAATTGTGCAGTGTAGAAGCACAATAACAGAAAGAAATAATACATTTCTTACACAACTATCATGCAAATTCTTACACTGTTAATTATACTAAAATAACTACAATTAACATTCCAAACTGCAGAGATGATAACATATAGAAATTCTGATAAGGTTCTAATTTTACCTACAAAGAAATTAGGAGTTCACTAATTTCATAAAATTAGAAAATATTACGAATTTTATTGTGATTTAAAATCATATTTATATTACTGTGCAGACTATGTTATTATAAGTAGCTGCAGTAAATTAATACTTAAAACCATACGTTTAAGGTATAAATCATTATTTTGAAAAGAAACAGAAAAATTAATTTTCGGATGCAAATGCCGAGTTCGGTTTTTTGGTCTGACAACTTATTTACATGACAAAAATGTTAATATACTCGGATTGTGTAACAATGAAACTTTTTACAAAATGTGATATAAGGGACTACACAATTAATATATTTTATAAATACTATTGAATATAGTATAAAAATATAGAGGTTCATAGTAGTTTTATTTTAGTTATATTTATAGAATTTGTAGGGGAAACATACTAGAAGGGTATACAAAAAATATACTAAAATTACATATTTGGAAGTGTCAATCAAAGCAGTAACATTAAAAAAACGAATAACATTAGTGAATTTATAAGGCTACTACTAAATTACTAGACGTCTGGTACGTTTAGAAAATAAGTACACTAGTGGGGCGTGTTCTGGAACACGTGTACCTCGATGGGCGGCTGCTGCTGCGGGTGCTGCGGATGCTGCGGGTGCGGCGGGTGCGGCGAGTGCTGCGGCGCGTGTTGCGGGTGCTGGGGGTGCTGCGGATGCGGCGGGTGCGGCGGGTGCTGCGGGTGCGGCGGGTGCTGCGGGTGCGGCGCGTGCGGCAGGTGCGGCGCGTGCTGCGCGGGCTGCGGCCGGTAGTAGTCGGGGTAGGGCTGCGCGGGCGGCGGCGTGCCAGCCGGCGGCGGCGCGCCCGCTCGGTACGCGCCCGCGTACCCGCCGTACCGGTACTCGCCGGACCCGTACGACCTGCAACGTCAACCATTAACATTTCTTACTGACACTACATAAGACAATCTCCATCGATAAATCAAACATTTCATTCAAATTAACAGAGTTTAAAAAGGGAGATTATCAATTCGACAGTATTTTCAGCCGATTTCAAAAAAGGAGGAGGTACTCAATTCGACTGTATTTTTTTATTCGTGTTACCTCAGAACTTTTTTCTGGGTAAACCGATTTTGATGAGTCTTAATTTATTTGAAAGCTGGTGCATCCCCTATAAATTTGATCAAGATCTGACCAGAACTTTTTGAGTTATCGTTAAGAGCCTATATTACCTCAGCTCAAATTCTAATTTCGCCCCCACTTCCCCGCGCCATTCGTTCGCAATTGTGCGAACGAATGGCGACGAAATTAAATTAAGACTCATCAAAATCGGTAGCCGTATTGACAGCTCGCGGTCACACGGGAACACGAGGTCAAAGCGATATTGTTAGAGTAAAACAAACTATTATCGGACGAGCATTAAGCAATAAAATAATCTTTTCTAAAATCAAATTTTCAGTCATAATTTAATATTAACTTGTCATTAAATTAACATAAAATTATATGTCGCAAATTTAATTTCATTGTAGATAAAGCTAGAGTTCTAGTATAAGTTGACCCTTTATTGTACGAAAAGCCTATACAATACGAGATCAGCTTATACTGGAAATATGCTCTTATAGTGAAACGATCCGCCCATTGTTGGTTTAGTAGTAAGTAAGCTTAAGTTTTATAATTTTGGCCGTGTATGTTTGTGATGTGTAATACGTATAATAAATTTTGCAAACCGATTCTAAACCACTGTATAAATTCTACTGCTACAAAAAACTAGTCAAGCGCGAATCACCATTGCACTTAAAGTTCTGTAGGTACATTGGCTTGGTAGTAAGTTTACGCTTTCCATTTTACAATCTTATAAACTTATAACAATATAGTTTTCGCCTTGTATTACATCCTAGGTACTTTTTTAATTACACACACACACACACACACACGAGCGCGCGCGCGCACGCACGCACGCACGCACACACACACACACACACACACACACACACACACACACACACACACACACACACACACACACACACACACACACAAATAAAATTGAAGTGTCTGTTTGTAATGTGAAAATAACAGCTTTTTACTAAATGCATATGAAAGTATATACGGTACTTATAACAAAAACACAATTTTCAAAATTTTTGTCTGTCTGTATGTTCCAGCTAATCTCCGAAACGGCTGGACCGATTTCGATGGGAATTTCACTGGGAGATAGCTGATGTTATAAGGAGTAACTTAGGCTACTTATATTTTAGAAAAAGAATTAGAATTCCGCGCAACATAAAACCCTAAATTACACGCGGGCGAAGTCGCGGAGAACAGCTAGTATATATATATATATATATATATATATATATATATATATATATATATATATATATATATATATATATATATACGACTATATATACGACAAGCATTGGAGTAATATAAATATACATTTATATGTATATACCAGCTATATATATATATATATATATATATATATATATATATATATATCAACGTCAATACAGCTCTTCACAAATCCACCGCTGAACAGAACTAACTTTCACTGGCAGATCGCTGATGTTATAAGAAGTAACATACGTTACTTTTATTTTAGAAAAAGAATTAGGGTTCCGCGCAAAAAAAATAAAACCCATGAAATCCAATCGAAATAAATTACGCGCGGGCGAAGTCGCAAGGAACTGCTAGTCTATACAAATAAATAAAATTGAAGTGTCTGTTTGTAATTTCAAAAATTACAGCTTTTTACTAAATGTATATGAAAGTATATACGGTACTATGAAATCAATGATTTTTTCATTCAATTTAGATTATTGTATAATACTTATTGAAAGTCATTTTTTAACTTACCACTGGTTCGCATAAAAAAACCATTTTGAATGAATTTTTATAGAACCAGCATGGTGGCGATCACCTCATTCCCCGGGGTTATTTTCATTTACATATTCATTTATATTATAATCACCCTTTTTGTACAATTTTTCTTTAATAAAACATTTAAACTTGTTTACAAACATCCAGATCCGGAACAATTATTTGTAGGCCATACAAATACTTGTTTCGTGCGGGATTCGAAACCACTCCAGCGCAGCAACTCATTGCTAAGACTGTGCGCTACGGAGTAACGATAACATAAGGACGGATAAGTAAGTTACAGTTTTATTTCTTTATAGTTAGATAGGTAGGTACTTACCGAACACACTTTTTTTATTACTAAGTGCTTGGCTTCTGCACTTCGGGTCGCGGGTTCGATCCCCATACGGAACAAATATTTTTATGGCCTACAGATAGTTGTGAAAATTTGTGTTTGTAATCGCACTGTCTCCGATTTAGAAGAAATCCTGGAGTGGGGCAACGTTATAAAAAAACAATTACTACATAGATATCTGTATTTTGTTGTATATGCCCAAACGTGTCATATGCTGAATTTCTACATATTCGTAATCACTAATACTGTAAGTAGAGAGGTCGGTAGATACTTCATTATGTTTATCATATGTTTGTCCGTTTCTTTACGCCAACCCAGTCGCTTCTTATTTTTATTACGCTTATTTCCCATTGCGCCAACACTATAAACCTAAGTATCTATTTCAATATTTTAATTTTACGTCGTCCTGTTACGTAATGTGTGTTCTGAGCGCAAGGGACACAGCTCTCCCGTTCGAAAGCCGAAGCGAGAGTGAGCGGCGGTGTCGGGCGGCTGGGAACAAGCTTTAAAACGCCGATAGTTTAGGTAATTTCTTTTTACGGTGAAAATAATGATAATTAAAAAAAAGTAAAAAAGATAAGCACTGCTTTATAGTTAGTTAGTATGCAAATTTTCATGATCTAATTTGAAGTACTTTTTGTATACCAGCGGTTTATTGTTCGGTTTGGAGGTAACTTTAGATTATTTTTCTATCGAGAAAATTTTATGGAATCGTGTTTTCGTCTAAGATAAGTACTTAATATTAATCCTCAACTTCGCCATATATTTATTTCAAAATCAATGCTGCAATATTTTCGGCATAACGGAGGATCATGCTAAGCCATTTGAGGTAGTATAGGCCCTTAATAATGCGTATTTAATTGACTTCAGACTACATTGACGATGTTCTCATTTTATTTATATTGAAGTAGGTTATACAAATTTTTTTATTTCACCGCTTGTTTTTTTCCATGTATATAACAATTTATCTTCAAAGTTAACAGATTTAAGTAGTTTAAATTTAAGTTCCAGTCAGTTCAACTATTTTTAAACAATCAGTTTATGACACTGATTTAATAAAGAAAATCAATCCTCAAAGACTGGTATATTGACATAACAATTAAAATATTATTTATTTACAATACATGATGATTAGCAATAATCATTTTAAAATCAAAGTCAAAACTTCATTATTAAATTTAGGCTTGTTTAAAGCTCATAAGAACATCAATATCTCACCAGATATACATACACAAGACCATCTCAAAGAAGAACTGGCAGAAAATCTCTGGTCTTATATACAATTACAACTTATACCAAAATTATACACTGTCAAAAGACTATGAATATTTTTTTAAATGTCAGTTTTAACAAAATAATTTGTTGTGCTTTACTTTGAAAGTTTTTTACAAACAAATATTTAGAGAAATAATAATTTTGTAACATTTTACTACAGCTACTTTGATTCGTCTACAATTTAAAATGCATACCTGTCACCTTCCGGGCCATACGGAGGATAAACAGGCCTATTTGACGGGTAAGGTGATCCATATTCGTACCCGTACCCCTGTTGATAACCTGAAAGTCAAAATTTAATTTATTAGAAAAAACCATATTATCGTTTATTAACAAATAAATCATGCAAGAAAAAGCATAAACCACTATTATACAATTGTTAACTGTAATATTTAAAAAAAAAAAAACATTTTTAGAAGTAAAATAAAATATATGAACACAGTAACACAGCCGTACAGAAAATACGCACAAGACAATAGCTAGTACTATATTAACAATAATCCTACACATGCCAAAAACAATATGATTATTTGTGACAAAGGATGGAAAAAAGTGTTCTAAGATTTATAGTGATGTATAATACGGCCGACGTATCTTGGCGAGTCTGAATATAGGCTCTGCGAAGTTTAGCGCATGAACACTCGTGAAGAAAACTGTTATTGTCATTTTTTTATATATACCAATGTACAAATAAAATTTCCCTAATACAGTGACCAAAAATATCAAAACACTTTGGAGACATTATAAATTAAAGATTCAATTTTGATACCTCACCTTTCGATAGGGGCAGATTTTATCACAAACACATACAATATTATTTACATTTAATACTTTTTATTTATTTACACTTATTATTATTTAATCACTGTCGCTGAGGGGGGAAATTCCTAACATAAAGTCGTCGGCCCCTTGTGTACCATGTGAGGTACTTGGCATAGGTTCATCTTCGTAATCGTCGCTCTCACTTTCAGACTCACTTTCTGAATCTGAAGCTGTATTAATGATGAATAATTGATCCGTCATTTCGTCAATAATATGGTCGCTCTTCCTATAGTCATGTTCGACCTCTTGCACTTTTCTGCATAAAGCACTCCATTCATTCTGACCCATTAAATTTACTTTTTCTTGTATGAGCTCCATTGTCCGGGTTACGTTCCAGTCGACGTTTTTAGCGGCTACGTGCCCTTTAATGGCAGCCCACACCATCTCGATGGGGTTTAAATCGGGATGATATGGGGGTAAACGAAGGACATCGTGGTTGTTTTGTTTAAACATTTCATCTATTACGTATTTTTTATTCACGTCTTTGTTTTTTTTTATTAGATCGTAAAGTTGTGGTTTACGCATGTCCTTTTCATATGGTATACCCTTTTCTAATAACCACGATTCCATTTTTGCCTTCTTGTCATTAGATGTAGGGGCAGGATCCATTAATTTGTTGTGGTACGGAGCATTATCGATAACCACCACCGAGTTAGGGCTCAAATTTGGAATCAGTTGGGTCCGTAACCATTTCTCATAATTTTTGAAATTCATGTCATCATGATAGTCTCCGGTTTTGCTGCCAGATTTGAACATTAGTAGCGCGTTCGGAACAAACCCTGCTTCTGACCCAGCGTGTACCATCACTATCCGCTGACCTTTTGATATCGGGCGCTTTAGTCCTTGAGCGGAACCATCTGACCACGCCTTACCTTTTGTATGTGATGAGTGGGCATACGACTCGTCAGTGAATACAATTGGTCGCCCTTCGTCCCTGTATTTTTTCATTGCCTTCAAGTACAAGATCCTTTTCAGGCGAATGTCGGTCTTCTCTATAAGAACCATTCTATTGGTTTCGGTCTTTCGCCACTTGAAACCCAAGTTTTTGATAATTGTCTTTAAGCTCGTTTTACCACCTTGAAAATTTATATCCCGTTTGAGTTTCGCTAGTAATTTGTTTATCGTCGGCATTTCTTTTTCAGTTTTGTGGAAGTTGTGTATGCATCTTTTTACTACTCCCTGGTCAAAATTATCCATATCAGTAATAGGTTTTGATCTAGACCTTTTTTTACCAGGCGTGCGGAATACTGAAAGTAAGCCCGAAATATTGCCTTCAGTTGCGATCCGCTGTACTGTGCGTTGGGACACACCAGTTGCGTTAGCAACTCTTAAATAAACTTTATCGACATCTTTTACGCCTTCTTCTTTTTCTTTTTTCATATATTGCGTTAAATCGTAAATAATTTTTCTCGCCTGGCGATTTAACACACTGTTATGTTTTGGTGGCATGTTTGGCGAATAATATAAGTGCTAACTGACACTTGCAAATAAAACAAATAAAACAAATAAAACAAACAAAACAAACTTAACACTATTAATAAAAACAAACAACAATAACAACGAAAACTTTTGTAACCGACTGTGCTCAAGACAGAGATAGCGACACGAACACGACACCAATGCTAACGTGTGACTGAGAAATATTACCGTGTACCGAGCATTGCCGAATAAGCACGAAGCTTTACGAAGTAACCAGAAAGGGATGTCCAACACGCGTGCCTGAGGGTGTTGTTTAATCGATTTTTATTCAAATCGATTAAAATTAAGACATAAAAATATATTTATTTGCAATTTATAAGGAGGTTCTAAATTTTCTCAAATAGTCGTTACTCAAGAAGACGTTAATAGATAATTGATATTTAAGTACATTATGTCTTTCAGCTGAGAAAATAATATGTTTTTAGTTTTTTTTTTTTATTTAAGTCGAAATCTTGTTTATTATCAACAAAATTCACTATATTTGTAAATCTATTTCGTTTAATATCTTATATAAACAAAAATCAATAACTTCTAAATAAAACTAATCGATTGCGATATTTTATGACTAAAGGGTCGATTGTGTTTACTTATGGTCAATCTCTAGCCTAGACCACCGCCCCCCGTACGTCGCCTCATGCCACCATTTTGTTCCTTAAAAAAGCTATTGCGCAACCTTCTGCGCGAAGGTCGGACTCGCCAAGATACGTCGGCCGTATTGTATGTTATGAATGATGTGATGCAAATTCTTTAAGTCTATATACAATTTGACGCCTAAACACTTTCGTGTAAACTTCATACATATCATACACTTATAACACCAATGCACTGCTAAATCATAACTACCAATAGTGCTATAGTTGAGCTAGAGGTTAACGGTACAAAGTCACGCGTTACTGCAAACAAAAATGTAACAGCCACAACAAGCGAGAAAAAGTAGGAACGGAGTATTTACTTATGAGATGAATTATATTCAGGGTTTAGAAATGTTACAAGAATAAGATCAAAGACATGTACATGAATTAAAATCGCCGCATAATGCTAAAGAAAATTTTACCATTATTTTTTAGCAGATAGATAAACATGATATATATCATGAATGTAAATTTATAAAAAATATTTTTATGCAATCTTTTTTCATTTAGACAATTTTGTATTTAAGGTACAGATTATATTTCGCACTAAATATTACTTAAAACTTTTATAGTTAATTTAAAAATGCGGAGATTGATACAATTGAATTTAACTAAAAAATCATCAGGTACGGGATAAGTTTGCTAAATTAAAAAGGTTTTACTTCTGTCACGATGAATTTATGTAAAGCCTCTCATAACACAAAGTGTTTTTACTGTTTTATACCTAGAGCCACCAAAGTGCAGATGGTATGTGGAGACGTGAGAGGTGAGGATGGGAGGGCGAGTGCGTGGTGCGTGTGGGAAGGATTAAGTACCTGGGGGTCTGCGCGGCCCAGGCGGCTCGTCGAACGGGTTGGAGGCGGCGAGGTTGTCGCCGCCCGGCCCGCTGCCTACAACCACATGGCTTTATTCTACCCGTTCTTACCCGGGTTACTACTGATACTTTTCTACTCAAATAAAAAACAAATTTCCCTTTAAGTTCACCAACTGAGTTAATAAATTTGAGGAAGCTATGTTAAAAACAAAAAAAAGGAAAAGAACTAACGAAAAAAGTAGTACTAGTTGTTGAGTATTCATATTCGCGATTATTTCAATGTTTCGTATTATAGAGCACTATTTAAATTAATAATTAAACTAGTGGGATGCCGGGAAGTAAAGACTGTGTAAGAACCTCCGAAGAAGGCGGAGTAATAGCCGAAATAAGAATTTTTAATTTTTTAGTTTTTGGCCATTTTGACCCCCTAGGAGTGTAAGGAGAACTTTTTGCCCTTATTCAATAATGACCCCCATGACATCCTCTACATGATAGGCTATTCAAACTGACTAGGCCTAAAGTTCGAGTCACCCCCCCCCCCCAACTCATTTCTAGTCTTTACTTCCAATTATGAAATTTTTAAAGCTCTAATGGTAAGATGAAAATCATTAACACTTAGTAAAAAGTTAATGCAAATAGTGAATGCAAACTGTTGGAAGAAAAGTATCAGCAGACTCCAATCTAATAGTTGTTTTTCAACTTGTTACCATCAAAAATATCCAATATCATTCCCAGGCTTAGCAAAAGTGCGAATATTGTTAATGGTAAATCTTGTGCTACTATCAATTGGGTTAGTGGAAAGCATAGAGACGCATGATATGGTTAGCAAATGTCATTTACACACATGGTTAGCCAAAAGTAGCACAAACAAAGAAAACAAGCGTTCCCACGCGTTGCTTCGTGTCCGCACGTTATAGCATCGCACGGTCTTATCTAGATCTAGTACTGATAGCTTATGTACAGCATTATTCAAAAAGTGCGATTAAAATATTGGGTGCTTCTAAAAACTTAAACTACGACTACCTATAACGCTATATTTATACCCGAATCAAAATTATATTGCTAAATTTGTAGAATATACTTCTACATGTGGCTATTGTGAGATAGAAAACTAATTAATCAGTTTCAAATAATATTATTATATATTATGGTTGATAAGAATGTGAATGTGTTTATGCAGTCTTAACATGCCATATTTAAAGTGTAATTTTTTTATTTTTAGTTGGACATGTTTTTTGAATTTATGTTAAATTAATAATTGTGATTGAAGACAGTAAAAATAACATAGTTTTATGATAATATCTTGTTATTAAGTAATCATATTTTATTTTTGATTCCATACAGGTGTATATCTAGAAATTTTAAAATATATATCCACACCAACTTGTTAGACAGTTGTTTTGTTAAAGAAAAATGAAATTAATTTATTAGTTTTGTTACTAACAGTTAATTTTACTAGCAGTGCGTTATTTTTTAGGTTTGGACATTTATCTGCTGTTTTTTTTAAAGCTCAGTAGCGTAGTAGCTACCGCGCAGATAAAGCAATGTTTTAGACTAAAAGTAATTGTTCTGGGTCAGGGCGTTTGTCCATGCGAAAATATGTATACGTGTGTGAAAATGGTAGTATAACTGAAGAACACTAGCAACTATCCAAATGAACTTTTCAAATTTCATAAGCACGACCCACTGGTAAGGTACGCAGGCTGCGCGCGTGTGTGTGCGTGCGTGTGTGTGTGTGAGCATGTGTGCGTGTGTACGCACCCTGCGGCTGGTTGGCGGGCGGCGGGTAGCCGGCGTACTGCGGCGCGTAGCCGTCCATGGCGCCGCCCGCCGCCGCACCGCCGCCAGGAAACGACTCCGACGAGTTCGACGAACCGGCTGCCGAACAAACAAACAAACACATATTCAAGTATCACCCTATATGCATTCTACAACCAAGACAAGAGGATTTTGTAAAATATTCTAACATTAGTAAAAGTATAACCATATAGTGGCAGTGAAAGCATATCCACTATTAAACTATATCATCCCGTGGTTCTCGTAAGAGGTGACAGGGGGAAACTGAAACTGAAAATTATTAAAAAACTAAGGTTTTCAGTACGTCTGCCTAGCGTGGCAACTATGGCAAAATCCCCCTTTTGGGGCAATCTAGGAGGCGCAGTGGACTTTGATTGGGCTGTGATGTTAAAGGTAGTAAAAGTATGTATATTACACAGCTGAGGCCTGACATTCCTGAGAGGTTATTTTAAGGTCTTGTTGTTAGCAGAAGTCGTATTTCCTAGAAATGTTTTTTTTTTTATTTTTCACACAAGCAAGTTTCCCTACTATGATTTCCTTCACCACCAAGTACGTGGGTAAACAGCCGTGGTAATTAGCATTTAAAACCGCAAAAACCAATTTTATTAGAACGCACAATGATCAAACTCTGTTTAATAGCATACTATAAGATTTTAAGGCTCACAACACTAAACTCCCGAGCTTTTAAAGGCTCTTAATATCACATAACGCATTTAAAATATCATCTACATTCCACAAGTTAAAAAAAAGACTATTACAATTTTAACATCAAGAAAAACAGAATAATTTGATCAATATAAAAAGTAATATTTAGTGCTTTATTTCAATTGTTAATTTATCTTGGAAAATGATAATCATTATTGTAACCTATAAGTGCTAAATATAGACTTCTCAACACTACCAAAAATTGCGGTTCAATTCTGATCATCCACTGACCTCTTGCGTTTCACGAGGATATATTTTAAAATAATATAAGCAAATTAATATTAATGAAGTTTATAAAACGTACCAGCACTTGTAGTATTGTTGGCCTTGCCGCCCTTCTTTTTTGTGGAGGCTTCCACCTGATTGATGATTGGTTGAGGATCGATACCGCCGCGATCAAAATGGCATTCATAAGCGAGCAGATTCTTTGTGTAGTGTTTGCGTAGTGTATACGCGGCCGATGATGAGGCGCCAATTCCCAGCAGACCCGCAATGTCTTTCCACGTTTTGTTCTTTGTCACCTGATGTCAGTGAAGTCTTAATTAATATGTTATAATAATGGAAAAATAAAAACAAACTATAGTTGAAATATTTAAACCGTAAAAATTAAAGTCAATCGAAATTATAGTTATAGGCTATGCAAAATTATGTGTAATTGAACCATAAATTAACGTCATACAGAAATTGCACCTTTACGACCGACAAACGTTTTTATAGTTCTTTTACGTATTCATTACTTTAGCAAACGAAGCAGCGCACAAGCGCAACTGTCCTGACATAAATCGAGGACTAATATTCCGAACACGTCAGGTGTAAAGTTTTCAGTAAACAACGTAGCGCGGAGCGGCGCCCGACTTGCGCGTATAAAGCGCGAGTTTTACGTTGGAAAAGGCAATAACTTGGCAGTGTTAACGAGTGGAAACCTCACCATGCCGACGATTTTCGAATTTTAAAACGGTTTCCAGCTGGAACGTACGTGTACACGTTAACGGCCGTCGGCGGTCGGCAATCGACTAGCTCACTTTACGGCCACCAACATTGTTCGTGCATTGAAAGCGGCCTTTGCGATACTCTAATGATAAAAATTTATTAACTATCGTTAAAGCGCCGGCGAGTTTATGGCGCCCGTTCTCATAAAGCCGACGATACATGCACTAATATAAATCCAAGTTGAAGTCTATTAGTCTCAGCTGCATGGAGCTGCACGTTAATATTGCCGGCTATTTAGGATTAAGGTCGTTTCCATTTACAGTTTTAAAGGTAATCGAATTGCAAGTTTTTAGGAAACTTATTTTTAATAATAGTATAGTGCTTGACACTTGTTTATACAACACCAGCTTTTTTTTTGCTTTTTCTTTAATACGCCTAATAAACATAAATAAAAAAAAATCCCATATAATATGATGTCCTGCACAAGGGATATAAATTGTGCAGGATCTATTAATTATTGTGAGCGAAATAGATTTAACCATCCTATAACCAAAGTATCTTTCTATGTAAATTTACAATGCTAGGATTTGCCAAACTTGTCAGGTGGAGTGCCACACAGACTGCAGGCCTGGCGCTGCAGATGCATTCATCACCAGACAACGTTTTCATATTTTTCGTTTTTGGGATTGATTTTAATAACCATAAACACACTATCGATACTTTACGAATACCATAAGACCACACACTACTGATTATTATAGTACTAAGAAACGGAATCTTTTTCATTATTACATATGTTTTATTCTAGATTACATATACATTTACAAAGTTAAATATTGTTCTAGTACACACTTTTATTTAAAAACACAAATCTTATTGAGTTATGACAGTAACACAAGAAATGACTTTTGATCGGGGTTTGTAACCACACAAAATTAATTGCGAACAATAAACAATGTAAGTATAAATCTCCGACATGGACAGCGATGGTGACGTTGATGTCGATGACGGAGCGTTTGTGTGTAAGTTGTCAATTAACAGAAAACGAACGATTATTGCGAATGTTAATCGGAATAGGTATATAGTGGCGGCGTAAGAGAATACATATATAATTTCGTGGCTTAAGCATCGTAAGTGGCGACTGACGGAAATAATACAGGATTGTGATAACTCAAAAATAATAATTAAAACTTTTGATTGTTTTAAAAAAATGGCCTCTATATCGTAATAATTCTCCTGTATCGCAGAGTTAGTTTATATATACAAATTTCACAGGAACATACATTCAGACCCGAACATAATTTATACTTCTAACAAATACTTGTCTAGTGTGAGATTCAAGCGTTTTTTCTTTTATAAGATAAGGGTGACAAATGAGCACACAGTTCACCTGATGGTAAGTGGATAGTGTGGTCCATAGACATCTACATTAATACTCAATTAAGAATCAAAATACATATGTGTTGTCACCTATGAGGAGAGATGAATGCAACCAAGATGGAATGCCTCGGTTTCAGTAAAAAGGATCTCCGGTTCTCTAAACTCACCATACGAAAGCTGCTATTTTACATTGATAATCTGTGAAAGCGTGGTCCTTCCCCAAGCGAGCCGATCCGTTCGTGCTACAACTGTACTACTAATATAGCTGCAGCATGGCTCTACCACGTAAAAATTGTGCGATCCTTAGCGCTGCAACCCAATTCTATGCTAATTCTATGCGCTACGAAGCCGTCATGTTACAGCCGTCGCGTCTAACTGCGATTACCCACCTGCCTGCTAAGCGTGGCGTGGCGTTGGCTATGGAAATCCATAGGGGAGATCTTTTGTCCAGTGGACTTTTGATAGCATGCGTGTAGGTGCGTGTAGGCGCGCGTGGGCGCGTGTCGGCGTGCGTACCTCGACGAAGCCGCCGCGGTCGCGCACCAGCAGGTAGAGGCGGTAGAGGTCGAGCGGCTGCTTGGAGATGGTGGGGCAGGCGGCGATGGGCGTGCGCCGCTCCTCCATGAAGGCCAGCAGCCGCTCCACCCAGCCGCGCCGCTCCGGCGCGTCGTCCATCTCGTACAGCTTGCCCAGCGAGTCCGACTTCTGCCGCACCAAACGTAACGTCACAACTCACGCCACACCACCACACCATCACACCCTACCTCAACACAACACTTATTTATACATCTACAAACGCTACATTACCATTCGATGGATTCTACACTAATATTAAATTTTTAAATTATCTGTAAATACTTTTTCTAAGCACAAAAGGACTTGAAACAAAATAAAGGAAAAAAAATATTTCTTTTATTATCCACATACTACAAAATGTAAATAAAATCACTGACACTAAAATTTATTTTCAAAATCGATATAAAAACTATAAAACGGAAAAGGGGCAGCACATTAATGTAATTTATAAGTTTGCAATTAAATTAATACTTAAATTAATTGCAAATTGCATTATATTGAATTGATGAATAACGTCATACAAAAATTAACCTCTTAAACATACCAAAATAAAAATTATTAAAATAATTACTGATAATATTTACGAACTGTAATACTACAAAAACTTATGTATATCTCATAATCAAAATTAAAAGATGTATTATTTTGTAATGTAATGAAATAACATAAAATTATATTGGTGCATATTTTTGACTTAAGTAAATAAGTGTTTAAATATGATAAGATTTAAGTGCCATCACCAAAAAAATATATAAAGGAAATAAATTCAGAGGCTAACAATGTTATTGAAGCATAAGTAAATACTGTGCACATCAAAATAATACATTATTCAAAAATTAGTTGCTTTTACTTTTAGTGATTAAATCAGGCATGACCGAATATTACATTTTATTTGCCTTGAACATATTTAAAGATGAAAGATGATATTTTCAATAACACAAAGTAACAGCTGGTTAACCACTAAAAGAAAATGATACAAATATGTCCAACAGTATAATCTGTAAATATTGTAATGAGAATGGATTGAAAGTAAGCGAACTACCATGCAGTGCAATGTTTATTAGATGCATTAGGTTCAAGTTATATATACATGCTTAACGATCTAACTTGATATAAACCTTTGATCTGTAGGACTCCGGCGGTATGTGACTGTTAAATACCTGAAATATATGATTATAATATGCAATGTGTCCCTCTCACTCACATACAAAAAAATCTAAAGTTATATAATTACTATCATATCTGATCAGAGAACAAAATGACTTTAATTTTATCAAGTTAAATATATTTTATGTCATTTAATATTGCAAACATCAAGATTTAAACAGATCTCGAAAACCATTAATAATTGTCTCTCTCTGGTCAGACGTAATTGTCAAATTTATGGCACAGGTTGGGGTAGTTATTAGTCACATCAATTAGCATTTGTATTGAATAAGTCTAGAAAAAGGTGTCGTTTCGAATGACGCCCGTGCTTTATTAATATTGTAACCAATGTTATATACTGATCATGTGGAATGGTGAATATTCATTCTTTCCTTGGGGTAGCTTTCAATCATGATCATCATCAAAAAAGTGTCTATAAATTTATTTGCAGATTTATTTATCTATACATTGAAGTGATGAGATGGTGATGTACTCATATGAGTGTGCAATAAAACTAGTGTGGATAAAGATTGTAAAGTATGATTTGCTGCAGTGTGATTTAGCAGTAGATAAGTTTATTGTGATCTTCAGATGATATATATTTCGACACCAACTGTGTGTTGATTTAAATGTGTTGGATTGTTTTTTATTTCAGTTGTGGCAAGTAGATATACAACCCATTTTTATTAAAGTATTAAGGTGTCAATCTACAAAGTAACATTTGTGCTGTGTGGTATGTTTGTATATGTTACAGTACAATATGTAGTGTGTATAATGTGATGTAGTGCAGCTTGGTATGTTGTAGTATGGTAATATGTGTAATGGTCCTTCCACATTGCAATTAAACAACACCAATTTAAGTAAAAGTAATGCATTGAAATGTGAAAATCATGGACAGTTATTTTTCTTAATTTTATAAATAATGAACGACGCTTTGACCACGCATCGTACATTTCAGATCACACATGATCACTGAAGATCCGATTGCCACTCGCTACCCTCTCGTCGACTAAGAGTTAACTATACGCTGATGGCTCTTCATGGATGGATGGAAACTTCGAGCTGGTGGGTCTACAATAGATTGCCTCATAGGGATATTTGCAATAGTTGCTACGCTTGGTTACGCCGGTTGGCTTTTTAGTTATTGTTAGAAAGACACTGCTGCCCATCACCTGGTTTGATTCCTTCTGTCGCCTCTCATGACGCCTACGAAACGGTATGGGGTAGTGCGTATTCTTACACAGGCACTACACGGTTTACATTATTATCTAGGCCTTTGCTCAGAGTAGTGGACTTTGATAGGCTGTAACTGTATTGGTAACAAAATAAATTGACCAATGTGGGCTTGTTGTTGAGTGCATGTAGTGTGTGACGACCATGACTGTATGGTGTGGTGTAGTGCGGTGTGGTTAGGTGGTGGGTAAGGAAAGAAGTTGATCATTGTGTGTTTGTTGTTGAGTGTAGGTAGTGTGTATGGATGATGTGTATGGACGATGTGTATGTGTATGTATGTGCGGTACTGACGGGGCTGGAGGGCGGGCGCGGCCAGGCGGCGGGCGCGTCGTAGTCGTCGTGCAGCGAGGAGTGCGAGCCGCCGCCGGGCGACGGCGACGGCGCCGCGCTGCCCGCGCCCAGCTCCTTGCGCGCCTTCGGCCCGCACTGCTCCTCGCCCGACGCTGGAACACGCACGCACATATTTCTTATATCATTACACACACAAACAACCTATCACTCCAAGTTTTTAAGGGTGAACAGGGAAACTTGACGCTTGTCACCTAGTGCATTAGCATAGTTAAGAAGTTCTACCACTAAGCAGTACAGGTTTTTTTAAAATGTATTTACTTAAATAAACGTGGTAAAGGTTACGTTTTATTTGCCTTTTTCGTGTTATTACGTCTTTTATACTTTGTGTTATATATGCTTAAATTGGAAAAAAAAAGGTTTTCTTCTTTCCATTCTTTCATTGTAATTGAAACCTCTAGCCAATTAATACCTGCAACCATCCTTTAACAAAGGTAGTTTACAGGTGCATTTTCACCCCAGGAGACTAACATAGAATGCGTCACAGTCTGTAATAATAATGTTAGCTCTCTTTACACCTTAAACTGGAACAAAATAGTTAACACTGCTGCATAGCGGTAGAAATAAGTAGGAGTGTGGTACAATAGCTAACATGGTTTTTAAATTAATTCAAAAAAGTAGTAAAATGTCATTTTAGTGTCCAGAATTTAAAAACCAAGTACAGTTGCACGCCATTTGGCGCATTTTGTGAAAGGAATGTAGTTCGTCCTGCTGTTGGCTTTAAAGGCTAATTCTTCTTGTGAATTAACTGAAAACACCAGGAGTGGACTGTTCACAAGTTGAAAAAGATGATAATGGTGAACGCGGTTATATTGTTTTACACCAACACCAACCGCGCCAACTCTCCAGCAGGCCTATTCGCAAACCTTGTTAACATCAAAATGATAGCACACTGCGTCATATATTTTATTAGCCGTGGTGGCTCATATAGAAAAGCTATACAGAATACGCAATGTATAATAAGGTGCTAACTCCTTTCTAGCAGTTGTAACTCTCTGGTGTTGCCGATGTTCATGGGCGTTTGCTATAGGCCTGTAGGTCGTGATTTTCTTATTTAACTTGTATTAAATTAACAATACACAACATTGCAGTTGTGCATCCACACACTAGTCAAAGAGCTGGCCGGCTATGTGTAGTGTAGTGTAGTGTGGTGTGGTGTGGCGTGTGTGCGCATACCGGCGGAGGCGTTGCTGAGCGTGCTCTGCTGGCTGCCCTCGTCGAGCGGCGCGCCGTCGGGCCCGGTGGTGACGAGCGCGGTGGCGGGCGCGGCGGGCCCGTTGTCGTGCTCGCCCGGCGCCGTCGGCGGCGGCATCGCCTCGCCCGGCGGGCCCATGTGCCGCGCGACACCTCCGCCCGCGCCCTGCATCACCATTACTCTCTTTAGGAATGTTCTATCTTTACCGTTTTGAATTTTGAAGCAGATTCTAGTTCTCTAGCTAAGATAGTGGAGTTGACTGTTTACAATCATTAATGACAACAAAAAATAAGCTATAAAAATGAATGTGGTGACATATCTCAATGATAAGTAACGTGACTGTCACATGACGTGGATTTGATCGATATTTAAAGTTTTCTATTAAAGGTAAGGATTGTACAAAATCAATTCTATTAACTTCGTTGTATTATCATATTCAAATAATGAACAGTAATGGAGAATACGTAGACATTATCGTCAAACGCCAATCTCATCTGCATGCGGTGTGCATTCTGTTTATTGAGGAACCCGTTAACGGAAAACTATTCCAAAGGCTGAAATCTTAAGATTTCAGCCTTTGGAATAGTTTTGGAGGTTAACCTCAAATTTCAGACTCATGATGAGTAGCCAGCATTACCAATGCTAAGATATTTAGTTATGCACTCACAATTGCCCAACCAAAAAAGAATTAGCATAAAGGATTTAAAAATAGTGCGATTTTGTGTATTAAATATGTAAGCAAAGTAATTGTTAACAATAATAAATAATTCTGATGATGAGGTTTTATCCTCAAAGTATTGCGCATTGCCTTTTGACACATTGAGATAGACCGTTATCGCCATCGATTGACTCTATTGAAGCTGTAGTCAAAATCGACTAAAGACTTTGCAATAAGACAGATCAACATACTTACGTTAAATATATTTTAATGAATCCAGGCAAATCCATCCAATTCCAATTACCCTAATACGAAACTACAGCAACGACAAAGTTATATATTTTAATTAAGAGTAAGAAACGAGCATGCAGTAAATGCAATAAAACTTGCAACCAAGTCCCAATAAAGAAAAAAGTTATAGGGCACCTCCAAGGACAAAGATATCAACCTAATAAATACTCTGTATTTTCATTTAACTGTCTTTACCTTTCAACCGGAACAGAATAAACTAATATAATGTACTCCAGACCGAATTTCAGTCACGGCAGCCAGCCTCAACGGAGACTAGCAATCTGTACAGGAGAGGATTATGTTATACGAGTGTGTGTGCAACTCCAGGTACAAATTCTATACTCTTTGTCTTAGTCCGATGGGACAGTAATCCGACACGACCGTATAAACATCTTTACGTGCTTTTCGAGGCGCTGGAGTGAAACGGACTGCTATTGATGATGAGAATTTCTTCACAGAAAGACACAAGCTTACGCTCACTAGACTAACGAGGCAGTCAAAATAAACTATAAAATTAAAATTCGACTAAAATTCCACCAAATGTAAACTAGAAAATGCTCATTAATTCCACGTTATGATGTCCTGAGATATCTGACGCCGGTGCCATTACTACCTGTGAACATGAAGCAAAATGTACGTGTCCGTCCACGGGGCACGTCTAATATGTATAAAGAAATATTATTTACTGTTGTTTCATTATACCTTGAGTGGAGGATAGTGCTGCGGCGGGTGCGGCGGCGGTGGCGCCGGACGGTAGCCGGCGTACGGATACGGATGGTGGTTTCTCGGCGGGTAGCCGTAGGGCTGCGGCGGGTAGTGCGCCGCCTTGTACGCATGGTGGTAGGGCTGCGCCACCATCGCACCCGGCGCTCCGCCCGCCGGTACGGCGCCGCGAACGGGCGCGCTGCCGTCCGACAGCGACGACGACGGCCGCGGGGGCATCGGTACGTTCTGCGTTCCTGAAACACAACGTACGCATACATTATATCACCAAATTATATCCAACTAATTTAAATACTAAACACATTTTACGCGATTAAATGTGCACCATACATTTGTTATTTCTGTATGGGGTTGTGTTTTGATTCCTCAGATTTGCGGCAAAATAAAATGCAATGTTATTATTTTCTGTAGCCAGAAGACAAGCCGGAGACAATTACAAGATGTCCGTTTGATCAGAAGTAAATAAATTGTATTATATTAGAAGCATTCTTAATGCATGACATTTCTAAGCATGCAACCCAGATTTTCCTTCACCACTGCAGGTAACCTGCAATGGTTACCTGCAGTGGTGAAGGAAGACATACATGTGAATTCCATGAGAAATCCCTATCAGAAATGAGAGAAGACTTGTGCACAACATTGCGACGTTTATAGGGCTGTAACTTTACCTACTTTACTATATTGCAGTTACATCAATTGACTCCAATCGTACCTTATATTCACATACTGGAAATCATTTACAAAGGCGTGTGAGTGGTTGCGAATCTTTTTCCTAATGAAGTAGGGGTAAATAGTTAGGACCGCTTCAAAACAATGTCGTTTAATATGTTACAACACATTCGCATGAATTAAATTGTATTCGAGAGTGTAAACGTTAAAACGTAGCCGAGTGGTGGGTGGTTCGATGTGTGAGTGATCGAAACGTGCGGCGTTCCGCTAGTTGCACACACAAGTGCACACACAATTTGAATAATACAGTTAACGAGGGTTCGTCTAAGCCGGGCGCATCAATCGAGGGCGGAGAGACGCACCCGATCACTTTCGTTTTCCGCCGGCACGTGAGCCACATGCACCGCTAGCCTGCGAATTCTCGCTGCACTTTATTGCATCCGTATATGTATGTGCCTACGTTATGCACGCAACGCATTGACCGAGGCCGAGATACCGAACGGTAGTGATTTGCGACGACGAAAGTGGTGTTGCAGCTTTTATGTGGGTCGATTTGTGATTGTGCAGTTAGTTATGTTAGTATTACGTGAGAGCCTGTAGCGTACGCAAATGTAGCGAGACACGCAACTATTAGTTGGGTTTTCCATGAAGTGACTTTTAAACAAGAGGTACGAGGAGAGTGTATTTAATTCAATGATCGAATATTATCGTGGCATTCCAATTTGTCGGCGCGATCAGACAGTAGGCAGACGGCGAGGCGCCCGTGAATCATAGATAACAGCGTTGACATACACGCTTACCTATATATCTATTTGTTTACAGCGACCTTTAATGACTGCAGAGCAGCGCTAACGGGGTCGTCCGGTCCGCCCGGATCCGACCAGTCTCGTAAAAAAACAAACAATAAATGACGACCTCAAACAAAAGATTTCAAGACTTGACGCCCTTTCATTCAAAGTAGAGTGCGAATTATGTTCAGCAAGCCCGCATTTATTAACAACCTAGAAGCTTTAGGGTAGTTAAGTCAATAAGAGGTTTATAGTAATTTTACGAGATTTAAAAGGCTTTTACATATCCTATAAATTTTACTCTCAAATCGAACTTTATCTTTATGTACAGCAATTTTAATACAAAGTTTCTCAACGCCTAATGACTAATATATTTATTTTATACGAGACCGTCCCTTTCAAGCGCACTAGAAAAAACCCACAGACCAAGATAACAGCCTGTGTAATAAAACTTGTCAAGCTTAATAAGCATCTTGGAGCACGTTCTGCGTCGGAGTTGGCACAACCAGCTCTGTCAAGGGCAGCCCCGTCGCCGCGCCGAGGCCTTTACTTTCCCACCACGCTACCACGTGCCCGCTTCATGCGTTATTCATGTTTTAATTCATATCATAACACGCGTACTTTAAGAAACATATATATTATCACACAACATAATACTTTTATACACAATTTAAATTAATACATATAGTATGTACATACACACATATATGATGTATAGTTAGGAACTGTCTGAACTGAATTTATGTCAATTATATGAGCGGTAAGGATAAAAATAAAAAGCTTGGCGCATATAAAATATTATGTCATATTTAGTATTGTTGGTTTTTAGATTTATTAAATATTAGTAGTTATTACGGTTCGAATAATTTTACTTCTATTAAATAAAGTGTATTTTCGCACGCGATATGAAAAGTAAACGATATAAACTCATATATAAGTAAAAATTAAGTTATATATCGAGAGAGCTTCTTACTTAACACAGAGTAAGTAACGCTCAAATTTGTTAATTAATAAGACACTGACCCGCTGATATTTAAAATTGGTCAGAAATTACACAAATGCAGGTCTCAAGAGCATTCAGATCTTAAATGGTAAATTAGTCATTTATTCGCATCATTATGCGTGTATGACATGACTGGCTCGTCGGTTTATTGATTGTAGTAGTGCAACTGCTGATCATGAGGTCCCGGGGTAGAATCCGGGGTCGCGCAAAAAAATCAGTTATTGAGCTTTTACATCAAGAAATTCTGAGCTGCCCGGAGTCGGGAGTTGGCGGTGTCTCACCTGCGTGCCTCGGAAAGCACGTAAAACCTGCGTCCTGCATCTGATCTCTCTCTGATCGTGTGAGTTTACCGTTCCATCGCACTACTGTGAGAGTGATCGTGTGACACTTGGGCACTATAATCCTGTCCTGCGCCGATGGCTAGTCTCCGTTGAGGCTGGCCGTCGTGACCGAAATTCGGTCTAAACGATATTATGTGCGTATTTCATGAGCGTTCAGAAAATTAACATCAAAAACTTTACTTTAGTAATGCGATAGCAGAGAAAAATATGTTTTCATTTTCTTGAGACTTACACGTTAAAAAAACTTCTAACATTATATACCGTTTCGCGTGCCTTTGGACACAATAGCCTTGGGATTACGGTTTACGGTATAGACAAATTCGTCGATTATATTAATGAATAAAGCTACGTGCATAATAAGGCATTGGCCCGCAAAGCCGATACAGTCGCCAGGGTGACAGGGGCGGGCGGTGAGTTTAGCCAGCGTGTAGAGCGACACGGTACGGGCAGTGGTGGTGAAGCACGCGTGACCACGCACCGCAAACGCATTCCATGCATACATTTGCACCGCATCCGGCCCGTCGTATCACGACTGACACATACCATCAATGATAACGATAAACATTGATTTTGCTTGTTGCTTGTATCAGGCTAATAGCAATGACAATATTGAGGTTGTCAATATTAATGGATTCCTATTTTATTTTATTTATTACTAGGCACCCGCCCCGGCTTCGTCTGGATTGAGGATCGTGATATAGCGTTATTTAGATTTTAGATAATCAAAACTGGTGGCGGAGCGGGAGAAGGAGAGAGCAGCAGCTTTCCTTCCCGGCCGCCGCGGGAGACGCCCCGGGCGTCGGGGGCTACGTCGTGGCCCCCGGCCACCGTAGGCGCGGGCCTGTGGACGGCGAGCAATGGGTAGCTCGCCGTCCGTCCGTCTAACGACGACAGGCCGTGTCGACGGCGCGTTTTGTTCCACGCGCGCCTCAAAGAGCTGTCAGCAGCGTGAAGGGGCCCGCAAGGGCCGACGCCTGCCGGGGCTGCGGGCTGTTCGAAAGAGATACCGCGGCTCCGGAACGTAAGGGCACTGAAGGAACACGGATGGTTTTTAGTCAGTAAAAGTCTGACACTCCCTTCCGCTTCACCCAGAGCGAAAGGCGTCATTTGATGATTTTCCATCCGCAAAAAAAAAAAAAGATAATCAAAACTAAAAAAAAATTAAATTTATTTATAAGTTTTTTTTTTAAATCTCTAAGTTTTTCACGATTAAATAGCCTAGATCTGTACATATACATATATAGACTGTTAAAGTAAAATGAAATAAGTTCGTATCATCAGTCAGCAAAGCTTCTCAGAGAATTTTAACACGTTTACATTTTGTAAAAAGTGATTGTAGGGTTATTTTGATAATACCTACTATTTAAAAAAAAGTGTAACATGAAGAAGTTACACAAGAGCTTGTTGACAAATAAAATTATGGATGAGCGTTTATGACACTACAATACGTTCGCACGCTCAAATAAAAAAATAAACAGTCGCAGCCGCTCAACGCGCTGTCCTATTTGTAGCGTAGGGAGGTGGAACCAGTATCGTACCGTAGTTCACGTACTGTTACATTAAAATGATTCGTATTTAACTCAAAAGTTTGTGGTATGTTCCGCAAACTTTGACATACAAAATCAAATTATTTTGCGACATCAGTCAAAGCAATTGGAAATTTAAAATGCGTAGGTATGATATTAGAACAATATAAACTATTAATGTAAATTCATTGAGCAAATCACAACTAATATTTGGAAATACTGTTGTGCTTCTTGAACAATATAATCTCGATTCAATAGATCGATTTAAACCTAAGGCGACAACTTCGCAATGATCTGAATTTATCAATTGCGCAGAAGACGTTATCAACAACATCTAGTTCTTGTCAAAAGTCTGCTTCAGTAACTGTTGGGCGTTTTTCAACATAATAAATATTTTCTTGAGAAAATGTTCTCCAGCACGGATACAAAGAACATCGTAATTATCGAAGCAAAGAAAATAATTCATCTTCGGGACCAGGGCCTATAATATATGACCAGTATCGGTCTCGTTTTCAGTTTCAGTATCGATTTTTAAGTCTACGGCGACAACTCATACATTTCAACCACTAAGATATGCGTTTGTCGATGGATCAATATTAAAAAAGTAACTAACAAAGATGCGAGGATGATATGTTTAGATATAAAATATTCAATATAATCTTATACAGACGAAACAATAAAACACGACGTACAAACAAATAAAGACGATAACAAGAGCGGCCTAGTTGGATAAACGACGGCGTCACGATGTAGAGCGTCCAACGACCCATTTAAAGTGATCGCCGCCGACGACACCACCTCCGTAGATTTACTCACATGGCTTCGATGAACCGTCACACCGTTACAATACGATCAACGTTTTCTGATATTTTATATCAAGTACCTTCTGTTGCACTGATTTACCTAATA